AAAGGGATAATAGTAACTCCTAGAGGGACGTTGGGTAGAAGATGTGTACTGGGGACAGGATTGCTCCAGCTGCAGAGAGTTTTAAATCCTGGGTTCTCATTTTCAGCTGCTCAAATGAGTCAGACTACACTGGGAGTGTTGGAAATACCTATAGGAAATGCAAATAGGAACTTGGTATCTCGCAAATAACTGGCTCATCAGTGTAAATGGTGTCATGTTTAATTTATGGTAAGGTTTCTGAAGAACTTAATGTGACTTTTAAGGAAATAAATACAAATTATGAAATGCAGCTTTTAGCATACTCAAAAATAGACTGTTTATTCAGCAGAGAAAAAAGTTCATTTCAACTTCGTCAAGGTCTCCAGAGTCACAGTGTAATTTTTATAAATTTTGCTGCTGAAGTTTGCGTTCCAGTAATATTATGTGCTGTTGTGCTCTTCATCTGATCAGTCCAGCAATATTTGCATTAATTTATGCTGTGAATTGTATACTGAAGTGAGACTGAGTTGGCTGCCTGTTGATCAGAGAGCAGTATACACTTCTCACCACCCTTGGCTTACATCCTCTGAGTGTCCCCTGAAATAAGTGGTTAGAGTACAAGTTCTTTCCTTGGTGTCTCTAGCAGGGTTTTTTTGGCACAGGTTCTCTAATATTCACAAGGAAATTAGTATTGTGGTTTTTTGTTTTGTTTTGTTTTGGTTTGGTTTTTTTTTTCTCTATCCAGCTGCCTCAGGCCCTGTGAGCAGTGCTGAGTTTATCATTCTAGCAGGGTGTTTTTCCCTGAAATTCCAGCTTGAACACTAGGGTTAGAGTCTGCTGCTCCAGGGAAGCGAGATGCTCAGACAGACTGGGAGACAGAGATGGAGCAGGATACATCAGTCATGTCTTGTTCAAGCAAAACACACAGCTAGGTGAAACAAACAGACCAACTTCATATATTGCCTTTTTTCTTTTCATGTCCCATTTTCTTCATTATTCTGGAATAAGCATTTTTGGGATGTGTTTCTTGAACAGCTGGCTTTCCCTGTCTGTGGTTAACTGCTGCTGCTTTGTTTTGGACTGTGCAGTCTGCACTGGTGATCTTTGGGCAGTGGAACTGTAATAACTGCCTGAGGTACTCAGACTTGAGCAAGTAACAGCTCCCTGTTGGCTGGTCCATATAAATGAATAGCCCAAAAAGCTTAGCTATGCTCCATCAGTAGCTTGCGCACAGAAGCTCAAATGTGCCTTCTGTGACTTCTCACAGTGCAAACATGGAGGGAAGAAGGGCATCACGAGCATCCTGAACAGGGTTTTTACTCTTCAGACTTTGCAGATTGTTCCTGGTATACAACAGACTTTAAAAATTGTATGTGGAGTGATTCCCTGAAATCATCAAAGGCAAGAAAGCAACTGGCTTACTGCCTGATTGTAATGACTTAATACTTCAAAGAGGATGTTGCTTTATATTAAAATTATAATTGCCTAGAATATCCAGTACTTATATAAGACTACAGAAAAGACTACAGAAGGTTTTTTTTCACATGGTTGTGCTTTGTGTAAGAAAAAAAAACAACAACAAAACAGATGGAGAAAAGGCATGTATATCTTTACTAATATAACACTGGTCTTTATAGTGATTTAATTATTGCATTATTACATTAATAATGTTTAAGCAGTCATTATAATAATTTCACAATTTTGACTCGAGGTTAGTGGGGAGGTTAACTGAAGTGCACTGCGTTGCTGCCCCTGCCAGGCAGTGCTGAGCATTCAGCGGGGTTCTGTGAGTGGCTGAACGTGTTGTCGCTTCCCTGACATGGCTGGATGTGTGTGGCAGCTGAGAGGTCTGTGCAGAGATGCTGTTTCAGACCTCTGCAAGGGTCAAACCATCACTTGTAGGTGTTTCTTCATGGGTGCAAACTGTGTGCGCTGAAACCACAGTGTAAAGGTCATGGCTTGCCAGCAGCTGTTCACAAGGGCGTGCTGATGATTTCATCATGCAAAAGATGCCTTGCAGCATAGGTCTGTATTAACTGTTTGCTGAGAGTTAACTAGGTGCTGCAATACATGAGTTTTCCTTCTCACTTCAATGCAATGTGCAGTAGAAACTGATAGTGCTAGAGTATGTGCAGCCCAAGTCTCAATAAAGAACAAATTAGTAGTAGCAGAAGAGCGTCTATTTTCAGTGTTGCTAGGACTCAAATACTAGTTGTCTCTAATTTATAAAGACCATTTTGTCACTTCTAATCTCTCACATATCCTTGCAGTTGACAGATCCTTTTCTCTCTGGAGAAAAAAAGTTGATTGAAATAGGTTAGAAAAATGAGTAGTTCTCATTCTGTATACCATGTCAACAAGGCAAATAAACTTCTTCCTCCTCCTATTTTTCACTGTATTCTGTGAAAACATGTTAAGATTATTTAGATTTATATGGATAGATATTACAGCTTTTTCATATTTACTTTGACTCTGAAATGTGGGATTTTGCCTTCAGGGATTAGTTATTTATCTTACAAGTAGTTGTGGAATTGATTAGACCTAGAGAAGGTGAGGTTGCTACAACTGTATTTCAGAAGTGTGACTTTCATTTTTCTGTGTTTCAGTTTTGGGGCATATGTGATCTTAGAGCTTTATGGGAGAAAATGGAATAGCAAGAGCAGTCTTTTTTTCCTCCCAGTGTAACTTCAGTGCAGTCAGTTCTCCATTTGTGCGTGTAGTAATTTGCAGACTAATGTTGTCAGCAGCTGAAGCTGTGAGCTGTGCTGAGTCTGGCCCTGTACCCAAGCTGTAAAATCCTTCTGGAATTGGAGCTGCAACGGACCATTATGTAGATATAGCCTGTATCATTTCCATAGAGGCAAGACAGTACAGCTCCGGTATGGCTGGCAATTATGTCGAGTCGATAAACCTTGGTGGGGCTGATCTGATTCTTTGTAGCGTGTCCCAAAGCACTCCTAATGTACAGATCTTCTGTCTGCTGGCCTGTTCCAGCTCCCGCTTGGATGTTGCAGAGGTGGCGTGTTTGTTGCGATATACTTGTTATGGGGAGAGTTCCTAAGTAATACATGATTTCTGAACTGTGGTTGTCAATTTGTTTGAAGACAGCTTTGATCATATGCCCAAGCTGTAAGTAAATAAGTTTTAGAAAAACAAAAACAAAACAAAAAAAAATCAAAAAAAAAAAAAAAAAAAAAACACAAAAGTTTGTGATCACATATCTGATTGCTGGTTTTCACTCATACACCTAGTTATGCACCTGCATAAGCTGTTAAACTTGGTAACCTCAGTCCTCTCTGAGGAGGCATCTCCCAATGCTTACTTTGTGCCATGTGTTGGCAAATGAAGTACACCTACACTTCTCTAGGAAGAGTGTGAGATGCAGCCTACACAGAGAAGCGGGAAGATGGGAGGAAAAGCAGATGACTTTTAGAGACTTAGGTCTTATAATTTCTACTAACCTCATTCTTTCTTGTAAAGTGTGCTCAGAGGTAGTGCGTAGTCTTGCTGCTGCACAAACAAATGCTTCTGACTCCATGCTCTGCAGAGTCATCATCTAACCTTGCCTGGGAAAAGTGTCCAACTGCATGCAGGTATGCTGGCCCTTCTGCTTGACCCTTCCAGGTGGACAAACAGCTTAAGTTGTCCCTTGGTATAGAGCAAATCATACCAGCTTTCTATGGAGTTGTGGTCATTGTGTTGGAAGAATTCAGTGCTTGCCTTCTGTGCAAAAGGGGCTATGAGGGAAAGAAGGGTGCTGGTGGTCACTGCCAGGTGACAAGATGGTAAAATCATCTGCATGTGTGTTTTTACACCACTGCCAGAGTTGTACTGAGGGAGTGAAATTGTGAATGCTTTCTTGGAAAGCTCTAGTTTGAAGGAGTTAAAGTCAATTTTTCTGTGACTGCTTTCAGTAGCCTTTACCATATGCTTAGCCTCACTGTGGAAAATATCTGGGCGTTGTGCTGTCAGGATAGGGCATTTGAGCAGCCTGCTGCAGTAGGTACTGGGAACTCATTGAAAGCCAGAGGGGATTTGATGCAGTAAACCTGGTGTAACTGAGAAAAGGATCTAGCATTATTTCTCAGCAAAACTCATGTGGCTTGTGAACGCAGCCTTCAATCACAAACTGAAATGCAGAGGCTTTAATTAAGGGCAGATGCAAAAGTTTCACAAACGATAATGATTCGGTCTTTTGAATGCTTGGCAGTATGTGTGGATGTGACACTGCTGTGAATGACCAAAAGAAGTGTTCTTTAGATAAAGCTGCTTTATATGATGAAAAAGGACAGTTAATTAAAGCTGAATTTAGCATTTATGCCTAGAGAAATTTGACACTTAGATATGTATTTAAGAACACTAGAAACTACGTATATAAGATACAGTTTTTAAAAACAAAATAATAAAAAATGAATATGTGAAATGAGCATCCACTTTAGCACACTAGTGTTTTTCCTGGTGTTATAAGCTGTGGTATACATGTATACACCAGTTATGCTGTTTTACAAAGTAAATCACTAGTATAAATACTCGTAAATGTTATGAATTTCACCTAAGTTACAAGTTGTATTTCTTGCTTGATTTTTGATCTCTTCATACATCTCTTGTCTCCCAAGGTAAGACTAGAACATGTTACTCCAGGAAGTTGAGTCTTTCCCGTTTCTGAATAAATGCAGCATTCAAAGCTTTGTGTTTTGCTCAGGAAAACCTAAAATACATTAATGAAAAAACAGAAGTTGTAGTAAAATAATGGATGTCTGAGATTAAAGTCAAAAAAAGGGAAGTTCAAAATGATAAATTGATAATGATGAGAGACTGTACTCTTTCTCCAAAGAAACCAGAAAATGTTGTGGTTAAATTATTAATTAAATGTTATTCAATTATACATGCATACATATTTCCCTTTATAATCAGCTTTTAAATATAGAAAAATATAAGGAAAAAATATATGGGCACTTCTCTCATTATAGGAAAGTGACAACAAAATTAATGTTTGGCTTGCCTTTTTTCTCTCCTTTCAGGTCCGCACCAGTGTCCTACCTGATCACAAGGAGCCCAGAGCATGATGTTGGAGTAAGCAATTTTTTCATTGATGGATTTTTTTCACCTCATCAGCAGACATATTCACCAAACAAGAGATATGGCACTCTGCCTAAACAGGAGCTGGCAAGCTAGTTTTTTTATTATTTTTTTTTTTTCCTGTTTTAATAGCACAAGTTGGGTTAAAAAAGAGTCAAGGCAGGAGTTAACAGGCTTGGGGATTGCTGTCACCCCGTTCATTTATTTATTGAAAACCATTTTCAGCTGAAATTTACCTGAGGCAAACACAACTATCTAGACTTCTTGCTACTGCCATGCAAGTAGCAAGATCTGGATTGAGAGCATGGAGTTACATTATCTCAATGAGGCTGACCTGGTGCTTTCTACTTTTCATGTGCAGAGTATAAATAGTTCTGCTGTAGGAGTTGCCTTTGGGTTCAGATGAAGAAATGGCACTGATGGTAGATAGCGAGTTCAGTTTTCTATGTGTCTGGGCTGATTTTGGCAAAGGTATTGGGATATCTTTTCTGTATCTTAGGCTAGAGCCTCCCAAGTAATATGGAGGCTGCATGGGACAGCGAAACATTAGTCCTGCTACAGCTGAATAAAAGACTAAACAAGATCTGGGATTTTGGAAATATTAATCTAAGGTTCTGACTTGCCTGCATTACCAGGGCTTCCTTGGCATAGTTTCCAGCATTTCAACTAGTGTTTGAAAAATCTGTAACTTGTCAGTGTTCAATCTTAATGAAATAATCAATGCGTTCCATCTTTTCCTACACCTATTACAGGGACTTTTCTCTTTGGCTAGGCAAGATTATTAACCAAACTAGTCAAGGCTCATATCCTCACATTTATAATCGTAAGTACTCTACTAGCAAAATTACAGAGGAACATTGCTCTGTAATTAGCATTACAGCAGCCATTCTATTTTAAGTCTAATTTTAAAGCCTTTCCGAGTTACACATGCGAAGTTTGATTGGTTTGTAGACTGCCAGTTCAGGCCCTAGGGTATACCATCTATCTCTAAATCAGTTCAGAGAAAGTAATATCCAGCATCATTTGAAATTAGAACCCTTAAACATAAGCATGGCTGTCTGCATTTAGGTCATGGGATCATTCTCAATTGTATTTAATTTTGCAAATAATTCCTAATTGCATTGTCAGGTTAAGAAAGTTTTATTCTAAATGAGCATAAGAATATGAAACAAGCGAGTTAGTGGAATTTTTTAAGCTCATAAAATTATTCAGTTTTAATTTTAAGCCCCTGAAGAACTATGTGTGACACTCAGAGATGGTTAGTGGGTACACTGACCAAAGCTTCAAGATAACAGATAAGAGCTGTGTCATCACCTCTTAGCCCTGATCATGTGGGGACTCCTACTTTGGGTTCTGAAATGGATGTATAGTTCTATTTTACTGCAGAGAGAAGCCCCAAGCCTTTATCAGTTTCATTCCAAATATCCCTCTACCTCTTTCCAAGTGATAAGGTTGTGGCTGCGAGCACTCAGCTGCTTTGAAATATCCAATGAAGGCTGCTATGTAGTTGTGCTGCAGAAAATATTCTTTTCGGGATAAGAAGGATGTTCTCTTGTAACATGAAAAACCTGAGCTAACCATGCCCCTGTAGAGTTTCTGTTAAAAAAATAAAAAAATAAAAATAAAAAAAAGCTGTCATGTTGACTGATCTAAAGGAAGATGTTTGTGTGTTCACTCTAGCAAGTGTGCATCTCAGTGTGAGTCACACCTAGACAAGTACATGCTTCACTTTGGCAGTGAAAACTAACCATGATCTTTGCTTGTATGACTGTTGTTTTTCTCTGGGTATTTCATATAGGCTTTTTTGTTTCCTTACTTCCTGTTCAGTACTTCCCAAATCTGCTGCTTTCCCAGGCTTCCCTAGACTCTCAGCTTGCATCTTTTTTTCTTCTGCTGCCTAAGTGCCAACCAAAACACAGGAAATCAATTATCTATTTTTAAGCCTGCATTTTAGTTAGGAATGAGCCATAGCGGATAACATATCTTACCAAGTTGAAGACCAGTGTTGTGGCTTACCTAAATTGAGGATTATTATTTGAACTGTACATTTTATATGCACAAAAACCTATCTTGCTGTAGACATTTATTGCCGGTATGCAAGTATACAATATCCAGCTGGCCTTCCTGAAAGAAAGCAGCTGCAGGTTTGTTTGTTTTCTTTTGTTTTACCAAAAGATGTTGTTTCTTAGTAGCTACAAATTCTGTTCTCTTTTTCTCCAAAGGTAGCAGTTGTTTTTTGCATGCATCATGTTGATTTCACATGAACGCAACTTTATTCTGCTTGAATTTGGATACCTAAGACTATATATAATTTACCATGGAATTTTATTTTGATTGCGATTCCAACAGTAAAATCAGTGTAACATAATAAACAAAAACTTTGTTTCTTAATGTTCTCTTGCAAAAATTCAGCATAACCTTATGATCTTAATATTATTTGCTGTGAATAGATTATAATTAGTTGTATATTAAAAAAAAATTATGCCTAGAAGGTGGCTGTGGACAGTTTTTTCCATTTTTCCCAAGGCAAGATGAATACTGTCGGACAAACTGACCAAATGAGACTTTAGCAATATGCAGTGAAGTATGAGCAAGGATGAAAAGTAATAAAGGAAAAGATGAGTGTTTTCCTCCTTGCACTGTATTCCTGATGGTGTGTGAAGGTGATTTTGATGCAAGGAATAGATATAGTGTAGTAGCTTAACTTATCTTTAGAAATTCTAATTGCATTAGCACATTGCTCTATACTCATATTGCAATGAATAGGTCCACCCTAGAATGGAAGCAAATGCTACTATAAACTACAGCAGTATAACATTTCTGTTGATAACCTGGCCCTGAACTCTGTGTAAAAGTAGCTTCATAGCCAAATACATCTGCATTTGGAACATATAGATGCTAGTGCCTTGGGAAAAAAACAGCAAGAACAACGTTGGTAAAACACTGAAAATTTATCATTCCTTGTAATGTAGAAATTTGAAATATAGGAATAGAGAAAGAAGATGCAAAATGCAAATGCTGATACTGAATGAAAACTTTACTGCAGCTGTACACTTTGCAGCCTATTATTTTTAAGGTTGTCAGACAGGTTTTAACAAAAGAGAGAGGTTCCTGCCCATAAAACCAGTATTGAACAACTTAATGATGATAGCGTTACAGTTGTGTACCACATTTCTACCAGATAATGTGTCAAACTAGTATGTTGGACTGTAGTATTTTTTCTTGGTAGCAAGTAAGATTTCAAGGCGCATGGCCAAAAAAATAACAAAACTTCAAAAATCAATAAATCTTGTCTTTTCTGCTTTATTTTGTAGCGAAGCTTCCTGGGCTGTGCAACTTTTAGAGTAGGAGACTTGGTGAAGTCAAAGGAGCAACAGCTGACCCTTACCCTCAGGTAAGCATTTTTATCTGTAGTAAACCATGTCAGGTTAATAATCCCATGGCATTTGTTGATTCCTGCTCGACTGTATTTGAAACTCCATATTACCTTAGGTATATTAGATATCAACTTGAAGTGCTTCTGTTTCTGCCATGCACAAAGTCAAAATGAAATACCAATTATTTAAGCTGGAGTTTGCCGTGTGTCAGATTAGAGAAGGTTAGTAATTCTGTGGTATAACCTATGGAAGAATTGCAGCGAACTTGAGGTAGTGGGTTTGTTTCCAAGTCTCTTATTAGAAAGCAGTGTAAGGTTCTCAGTTTCATTTCGTGTCTGTCTTAAAGAATTAATATTGTACACTTGGCTGGTTTGGCTGTGAAGCATACTTAAAGACAGTGGACATAATGAGTTAAGACTTCTCTTGTGAAATCAATGCTGTCTGCTAACCTCATCATTACATGCAGCCCAACTCAGATGTCAGTGGGGTTCGATGTACAACTCTGTTCAGTGACACAGGGCACAGATCTGTAGGAGAGTCAGGTATAGTGTTTGAAATCTAGTTTTGTGCTGAACAGGTATTTATTAAAGCTCTGCACTGAAGAGTTCAGTTTTCACCTCTGATACTGATTTATGGCTGTAAGATAAATCAAGATATAAATCAAGATATAAATCAAAACCCTTTTAAGGTTAGAGGACACATTTTAGATTGTGATTTTTCTTAAGAAATTCATTGGACTGTGTAAAATGCAGAGATGGTGTTGAGCTGATTTTTGCAAACCCGCTGGAGGTTTATTTGGGATTACTAAGTATGGCAGAGCTAAAACTTGCAGAGCTAGTGCCCAAACTCTGTTTCTACATGAGCAGAATTTTCAGAGTGAGAAGTTCTGACAAGGAAAACTGCAAGATGTGCAGCATGTGCAACATGATCTGGCATCTTTCGGAGTATGTTCTGCCTGGGATAACGCACATGGGTACTGTTTAGAAAAAAGAAAGGTTCATCCTACGTGCATGAGTTGAACATCAAGCAAGCCTTGATTTGGCTGGGAGTCTAAATTATGACCTGTTCAGTGATGATGATGTACTTCCATTATCTCGAGGACACTACATTTTTTTGAAAGGAAACCTGTTGAAATATTTTGGTTTTATTACCATAGCAGCCTTCAAACTGTAATAGCAGCTTTTCTACTATAACAGTAGTAATCACATACATGTATGTAGTTTAGAGGCAAAGTTAACAAAATGCCTTTATTTTAGCTTCACCCAAACACAGAAAATGCCATTATTACCAATAGGATATTTTTTTTTCTTAAGTAGAAAACAGGATCAGATAAAATGTGAATTTACTACTCTCTATGGAAATGTTTTGGTAGATAAATCTAAGTTCATGTTGTAAGAGCCTATTTTTACAGAATTTCAAATTCTCAGTTTTGGGGGGACAAATTTTGCTTGCCTCTGTAATTGGTATATTGAAACCTTGACCTGAAAGAATGCCTTGGACAGGAGCCATAATAAGTGACTATGCAGTCAAATGTAAAATCAAAAGAATGTAAAATTTCAGAAGCTGAGAACATTGTATAGCCTACCTATCTAATACGCAAACCAAAAGTTCAGATAACTAATGAACAATAAATGACAGCTTGCCAGCCTTGTTTCAATTGAACCTCTGAGCCTTTTCAGGTTTGCTTTTAAATAATATTTTGTCTTGTTTGTCCACTTTGTGCAGCTAATACTAAAAGACAAATGTTATAACAACTCTAATATTGTGGATATATTATGTGATAGTCTTCAGTTGGTTTAATTTATTTATTTATGTTAAAAAAATATATTCCTAACCTTTTAAATATTGGATTGTTTCCTGGTTATGACTATTCAACAGCACAAAAGATGCAAATGATCTGCCTGTCTTCGATGGCATTTTATCCAGAGCAGTTTAGTAATCAGAACTTGTTTTCCTCCCATTGTTCTCTTGTATTCGTATCTGTTAGAAGGATGGGAGATATACAGAGGGCCTTGTCAGAGAATGCAATTTTATTTAATTTTTGTTGATACACTTTGGATGGGAGTTTGCCAGGGAGTTCCTGTGATTTAATATTGCTATTTTGTTAGATCTGAAATACAGATTTAAGAATCTGGAAATAACTGTGTCCTTTAGATATTGGTCTAATTAGAGAAGCTGGTTATATTTTGACTATTTTTATTCCTTTTTAGTGTCATGCTCATTTATTGTGTCTTGCATTTGTCTTTCGGAGGTACAACGTTAGCAATATAGAAGTGTTTTTAAAGGAGTATTCTTGTATTTTGGCAATTATTTTCTGGAGGCTTTTTTTGGAGGGCTGGCAGAGATCTATAATTCTATATAAGAAATCATAGAATCATATAGGATATATTTATATACACAACGTGTGTTATATGTATATATTTATTTCTATATATAACATAATTGTGTGGTGGTGTGTGTGGTGTAGGTTGTTTTGTGCTGTTGGGGTGGGGTGTAAGGTCTTTTGTATAGGGCTAGTGATTAGTACATCCATTAGCTGCTTCCCACGTGGTGGTAGTTTGTCCTGTTTCCAGGAAGGTCAATTTTAGCTCAGGTGATTTGGGTATGATTTCCAGTAAATTAATATGTAAGAAGCAGCAAGCTTGGCAAAAGATGATAGTGCTCTTTTATGTTCTGTGAAATTAAGGTCCATCTGTCTGAGATGTTCCTCGTAGTAGGCAGTGTGAAAGGAGAAGTAGGCCACTTCACTGTGAAATTAGGGTTAATTCTTTCCGTTCCTGTAAGCAGAGCCTTATAACAATGATTTCAACTCTACAAAGCCAGGAACTGGGATGGGGTGCATCAGTTACAAAAATTATCTGAGCAAATGTGGCCATGGATGTCTGTCAGTCCTGTATTCTCTGGCCTTTCCTTACATACATGACTGATTGTACTTTTATGGAGGTTCTTTTTTGTCTATGCCATGGTAACTTTCAAAAGTTCCAAACCTTTCAATGGTGTGCAAATTGAAATCATTAAAACAAGGGGCAGCATAGTCTTGTTCTCCATCCCCCCACCGGCCACTTTTCTGACTTGTCTCCTGACAGGAACAGCATCCAGACTTCTGGGTTTTCTGTTGAATTAATGAAAGTATTGATCCAGCAGATGTGTAGAAGTATCTTGTGCTTTGTTGTTTGTTCAGAACTCTTTTTTGGTTGCAATTGTGTTTGTCAGGCAATCAAAATGTTTGTTTATTCTGTGTTGCTTTGACCTCTTGGACAATGTCTATTTGTCTTTCAGTCTGCTTTATTTTAGCTGTTGTATTTCATTAATCTTGGGCAGGACTAAACCCATTTCCTTTCAATAAAGGAGATAAGCTATCTGTTTCTTGAAAAGTTGGGCAAAATAATCCTGACACACCATATAAAAGAGAAAAACAAAGTACCCCAAGCTTTTCCTCCCCCTCATAACACTGCCCCTCAAATGTCCTGTAGTTCAGTGGGCCAGCAGACATGTAACTACTCTTGAAGAGGAGTTAGATTCACCGTGTTGGATTAACTAAGTAAGGTTTGAAAGCAGCTCTGTCATTTCTGCAGTGGTTTAAATATATATAACTTCCTTGGGAAATAATTACTATAGAATACGATATATTTAGCTGCTTTTCTCTATTAAAATTCAGTATGAGCCTGTCTGCAACTACCTGGTCTCCTTCCTGAAACCATTTCTTGGCTGCTTTGTGTCACGTCATCCACCCCAGGAAGCAGACTCGACTTTTATAAGCCAGGCAAATCTCCCAGAGAGTTGAGGGAAAACTTGTTTTGACATGAAGCTTAATCAACATTTCACTGAAATCATGAAAATGGAGAGCTGATTGAACATCACAAAACTTTATTTATCTGAGAGTTTTACAAAATGTTATTTACCAGTGGACATGTTTAAATCAATATTGGTTGAGATAGGCTTTATTGTGGTTTTGCAGAATAAACAAAAGCAGCAACATTTCTATACAAGAACAGTAATTTTATGCTTACGTATTTCAAAATATATTGCATCTGTGGAGAAAATGGATTTTATGGTGGTATGTATGTTAGTTTGTGCTAATTTCATTTGTTGTGTATTATGCACTGGAGAATGGGGCTGCCTGATAGCCTGAAAATCATGCCGTTTGCTTTTCAGGCAGTCAGTCACTTTGTCATCTATAATTAACACTGTTATGCAAATACACAGTCTGCTTCTCTTTTTCTTTGTGTTCTTAAGCCATTTTTTGGGAAGAAAGGTATAGCCATGGGAACCAATTAGCAGGCCTAAATTTACATGCTCAATACACAGTAATGAGACTCGATGAGTACTGCATTGGAGGCGAACGACTGCTGTTCTCGGTCCATCTAACTCACCTGCTTTTCCACTGCTAGATTGTTAGTTTATTCCTCTCTGGATGCCCACATCAACCTTTTATCATCAGTAAGGTGGGCATGCACTTTTGTTGCTTGGGATGGTACTGGGTAGCTCTTTCTCTTGTATTTGAGGGAGCTGGTATTAACCTGGAGGTCCTTAGGGACTTGAGATGGTAAGCAAATCCATACATATGATAAACTTTAATATTAAAAGCGTTAGTAAGCAATTGTAGCTTTAAACCTGAGCTGATTTCAGGACAACTTCACAAATGTCTGGAATTGACTGAGTGAGCTGAATAGCAGTTGTTGCATTTAGCTCTGATGAAAGTATTTCATCAGAGAAATCCAAAAGAAAAGTATTTATTTAAGTTCAAAACCTGCAGTTTCACCTGGAACCACCTCCTCAAGGTTCGTGAGATGGAATTTCAGTGTAGATGGGTGTAGATTGTCACAGGACTGCAGCTGTGGCAGGTGAAGTGAGCACTGGGGGATGCAGGCAGGTTGGATTGAATGGTTACTGATAGACTGAAACATTGCCAGCTTTGCTGCTGAAGCCTGCATCCTCTGGTGTTGCATTCCAAGTCTGGTTTAGAAATCACTATTCTACCACCCTGTTTTTGATAATATTCCAAATGCAGATGCTCTGTGGACAAACATGGGGCAGTCGTCCCAAGCTGTGTTAAAAGAAATTAAAATCATTGCAAATTTTCCAGTTGCAGAAGCCAACTAGAGTTACTGCCAAATTTGGGCTTCTTGACATTGACAGGTATTTATTCTTACTGTTCTGTTCCCCATCCCCATGGTGTGTGTTAGTAAAGTTGTGATGCAGATTTGTCAAGGTGCCATCCTCGTTGTGCAATACTAAACTCCTGTGGGTCTGTACTGAATCTTGTCTTGTGACTATAAGTGTTCTGCTGCAGGGACAGTCTTCACTGCAGCGTGTCAGTGCAGAGTGCACTTCTCAGCTTTATTGTACAATAGCAAATAAGCTTTTTCTAACCTAATACGTTATGAAGTATCCTAAAGCCAGTTAATTATTTTCCTGATGCTCTGCTTGACAGTGTGTGTGCCTTCTCCTGTCTGTCCAAGCAAATGGCACAAAATATGTGTATCTAATGTGTTATACTGTTTGTTTTAGTGCAAAGTAAAATAATACAGTTTCCTATTTTATTTCAGTGTGGTCAGCGGGCTTCTTATTTTTCCCACTGCATCAATTCTGTTTCTCACTTTCAATTTTCTTTTAAACAAATTTTTAACCTCATGATGTTGTTGGAAGGTTTTACGTGTGTGACATGTCTGTTGTTTGAAGACTCATGTGCCAGTGGTATTTTAAATTCAGTGTGTGACACAGCTAATGATGGCTTGTCTCTGGACATTTATAGAGCTTTTTGTCGACTTGTGTGCCTCTAGCATCAAAAAGAAACTTGGTGAAGTTGTTTTTAATTGTGATTTTGTATTTCCATGTGGAAAGTTGACAGACATGAGGGAAGGAGTACAATTAAAATGCAACAGTCCTACTGTTCAGTTTTATTCTTTTCCATTGTCTGCTCCTGTAGTTGCTGCATGTTTTGGATTGTAATATTACACTGTGTATTAAAACAGAACATGAGTGATTTTGAGAAGAAAATAATTGAAAAAATTGATATAAAGTGAAATTACATCCATTGTATTTCTTTCAACACGTATGGAGAAAGCTTCCCCTTGTGTGCTGCTTGTGCAGGCAAGCAATGCAGTGCTCACTGCCATGCAGGGGGCATGCTTCTAGTAGCAGCAAGGAGGGGATATTCAGTTTTCTAAAGAAAATGAGATGACTGAGAAAGTGTGAATGGAATTTCCATTTTTATTTTATTTAACTCAAACAACTTAGCTCATTGGCTTTTATCAGTTTATTTGCAAATTGAATACCTTTGTTGCTCAGTATTCACTTATACTCTTAATTTACACTGGTGTAAATTTGCATCAGGTCTGTTTTATCTAGGTCAGTGCCAGACTTGTAGGTCTCTTTGGCCATAGAAATCACGATTCCTAAAAAATGGAAGGGCAAAATTTTACTTCTGATGGTCAAGTGAATGCAAACTTTTTCCTTTCAGGAAACAGTCAAGTGCTGTTGCATATTTAAGGCAGCTTGGCAATGAGATCATCCACTTGACACTTCGATCAGGACACATTAAGCTGTTGAAAAATTGTCAGTCCTGTAGTCAAGCATTTGCTATGATTTTTAAATGTATGTATGATATGCTAACATCTCTTGTATTCTCTTTTTCCTTAGAAATGCTGTAGTCCATTTGCTGAGGTAGCCCAGTTTGCATGGTAGTTGTGACCTAGGAAGGAAAAAAATGAAGTGAAACCTCTATGTAGTAATTCAGGGGAACATTCTGAATTCAGAAGACACTTAAATTGCATTTTATATACTTCAGGATTAGTATGTACCTTTGCTCATAAACACCCTTTGGACATTGAACCTTTCTTCATTATTTTTCTTCTGTATACTTTGTTAATTAACAGAGGCTTCTTCTTGGGTTGCAGGGCTATCTGGAATTGGTTCATTTTGCATTCTTTCATTTTATTGTCACTAATGAATTTAGCTTACAGCAAATTAAGTAGTGACACATGTAAAGTATGGAGAATTATGTGTAATTTTCAAGCTTTTATGGAAGAACATATTCAAGCTGTGTACTTGCAAGATGAGTATATTTCACGGAGTCACACACTGAAATATAATGGCTTGTAACAAAATATAAATGTTGAAATTTGAAGCTTGGAGTAGCTATGCTTGGAGATTTTAATGTAGAAAAAGCAAGGTTTGAGTTGGCATCATAAATGTGTCCATGCCTGGAAAGACGGACGTATGTGCTTAACTTTAATCAGCCTAAAGAACTGGCTTCCTCTGACCTAATTTAGACCTTATTACAGCACACAAAAATAAAGTTGATGTAAAACTGTGGGAGCCCAGCCCAGAGACAGGGCTCTGCCACCTGGAGCAGTGTTAGGAGCACGTGCTGCAGGATAGCCCGTGCGTAACAGCTGGGCAAAGCTGAGGGGCAGCAGGTGTCAGCTCGTGTGCCCCGTGCTATGCCAGCAGCAGGGCTGCAGCTTGCAGGTTTCACCATTTTGCTGGGTGAAGTGTGGAGAACAACGGTTGGGGGATTTTTCTTTCCTTTACTGACATGACGCAAGGATTGTTTTCTGAAGGTCAGTAAGGGTATTTGTGTTGAAGTAGGGTTTATTTTCCTGCAGTGAGAGCTGTCCCAAGAATGTGGCAGTTACTGATGGAAATACACATCTAACATAACTCTTTCTGAAATTTTTTCTTGTTTGCCAGCTTCCTAGTACCTCTTCTGAGCATTTTCTGCCACCATTTTGAAGTTTCCAATTCTGTTTTATGATGAAAACTTCCCTTGTTTTAAGTCATGTGCAAGTAAACATAATAAGCCTTATTTTTAATGTTTGCTTTATGGATGTAAATAATGAGTTAAGTACGGAACAGTAGCTATACAGAACAAAGAGGGAACTAAATGTTTACTGAAAATATTTTTATCGAAGAAATGAGATGCTGCAGATGACCTAATGTCAGATTTCTTTCCAGAACTTCTGATGGTGGGAAGACAGTTGGTACCATTGAAGTCAACCTTGTGAAGATGGGAGAGTTCGAAGATGGGGAAATGGACCACATCACAACGGATGCACAGGATCAAAAGGTAGCCACTCAGTTCATTGCGTAGAATTAATTAGAACGATTAGAGGTACCAGATGATGAAATCACTTATACCACATTGGGTTAAGTGGTTATTCAAAAATTTCTGGAATGAAGTCCTATGTACACTTCATCTCTATGAAGTAAAAATCCTTTTTCATGAAATGTGGAGAGTAATATTCTGTTATCAGTTTCCTAATCACTCCCCTTTTTTAGAAAAAGAGTTGATTTTGACCTCAGTTGACCCTATTTAATCACTCCTGATCAACAATTGTCCGTAGAGACGCCATAAATCTGATTTCTTTTTCCCTTGGACAGTTCCTCTGTTTTCTGCCCTTGAAGTCCTGTTCATGTGGATTTCTAAGTGCAACCTGTGCCCACAATACTGAAAACCTGGAAAGAATGACAGACAGGCGAGCCAAAGAAGAGGTGAATCCCCTTGCAAAGGGGCAGGTTCAGCTGTATTTTATGGGAGCACGTAGTGGTGGAGAAAATCAAGAGGGGTGGAGGGTGGCAGCAATGGTACTTAAGAGTGCTAGAACAGGGTAGTGTTGAATAGGGGGTGTATGCAGGTATTTTGAGCTGGTGGACTCGTGGTGAGGAGTAAGAGGAGGGACAAAAGGTTTTAGGGAAGAAATGGTGTCCACTTGGCAGGTCTTGCAGCCAGAAGTGGTGGAGATGCAAGATGGGGATGATATGTGGGATTTGGAGATATGTGGGAATGGATTTGGGAGGAATGGGGGATCCAAAGGAGGGGTGGAAAAGATGGATGACAAGAGGCTTGGGCTGGGGAAAGATTCATAAATGACCACTCTGAGTAACGTTATTGGGGTTTGAATGGTTTGTGATTAATAAGGTCTTTTTCTGAGGCCCTACTATGATGACAACTGAAATAACAGCTGCTGCCTCTGTCTGAAATACAGCTGTCTCTGAAGTTTCATTTTCACTGACAGAATTTTTGCAACACTAATATTATGATGTACTTCAGATGCTTCCCTTATTCTGCTCTTGATGGAGGAGAAAAAAACAACTAAGTTCAGATAATGCTGCAGGAGATGCAAAAACAAATACTCCTTATTTTTTTCTTTTTTGAGGTAACAAAAAATACTATGTTATAAATAATGTATATTTGAAGAGAAGGGCATTGTTCTCAGTATCTTTCCTGCTTAGCCAAAACAGTCTGCTTTTGGGCCAAACTCTAAGGATATATTTTACACTATTTTATTTGTATCCATCCTCATCAAAAGGTCCCAAAGCCTTTTTAAACCCATGGACTAGGGGGACCAATTCCAAAGCAGCCAAAAAAAACACTGAAATCTTTCTGGTTTTGTACTGTACAACCTCCGTAAGATATGCAAGACTAACTTTTTCTAGCCTTCTCTTTCATTTTTCTTCTATTTCAAAATGTGGAATGAGACTTCACACAATAATTTCAGATGTTATTAATGGTCTGTGTCTGTTCCGGGGTAGCCAGAAGGCTTTTAATAACACCTTTCTAATGCTTTTAATAGCACCTTTCTAAGGGGTTCTAATACTTGCATGAAAGAGTAACCTTGTGACAGCTGTATTTCTCGTAGTCTTTAAAGGATTCAATTTTTAGGAATTAGTTGTCATGGTGTTGCATCATGGAGCCCTAGTTTGTATGTTCGTAGTGAGGATGCAATCTATGAGTATATTCCCAAGAAGTAATTGCAAGAAGGTAGAGTTGCTGTATTACTTCAAAGAGAGAAGTTCTGCATTCCGTTTGTGAACTCATTAGATACACTGTGCCCTAGGGATTGCTCAGGGAGGAGTAAGCTGATAAGTCAATTCTACCTGAGATGTCAGCTGGTAGGGAGCACGTCATGTCTTCTCTTTGCTTCAAGCTCTGCAGCAGAACATCTAAAAAGAATTCTGCTACCTGATTTTCCTATCACCTTCATAAGCTTTTTTTTTTTCTTACTGGGGGAGGAACACAAAATATTCATCTTAGTACAGTTAGCATGTCTTCATACCAGTTGATTTCTCCAAAAACTTTAACTACTTCTACTTTATACACTAACCTAATCAAAGGAATCTTCTTCTAATTCACTTATATAACAGAGGACTTTAATTGTAAACCACAACCACATTTTAAAGTTTTCTTCTGGTTCCTACTTTTCCCTTGTTTAAAAATTCATGGAGTGCTTCCTGGCACTGTGCATGTGAAAAATGTCGTGTTGAAAGAAATCCCTCTGAAACCACAGAAGAAGTCAAATTATTTTAGCCTCTGCCATTGTTCTGGTAGGAAACCTTTTTGTTCTATTATGTAATAGCTGGTAATATTTTCTCACTTTCTCTGCAGTAGTTCTGATGCTGGTACAATATATTGGAACACAAATGTAAAAATAAAAATGTAAATGGCAATTACTGGCAGGGCTGGGAAATTATCAGTGTTGTTTTTTAGTCTGCCATTTATGAACTGCTTTAAATTTGCTTGTTATGCCAGAATGTGTAATGTATGTGGTTGTGTTTCACTTGTAGTGTGCATTGGTTCGTGAGTGTACAGCCCCTGAAGGCCTAAGTGGCAAAGACAACTTGCCTTCTTTAAATGCAGGTAAGTATTCTAACTTCTATTAGAGATGGCTGTCGGAATGCTCTATCAGGTCCTGAAAAAGTTGCAAAAATTTGTAGCAGAGCTCTTAAAAAGCTCTTCAAATCATGTAGAGATTCTTAATTTTAATTTTTTATACTTTTTTGACAGTATCATTTTGTTAAGAAATGTGAAAAAAACTTTTTTTTTCAGTACGTCAATTATGCTTTCTGAAATGCTACTGAAATCTCCCACTCCGGCATCTTTACAATTCAGTAATTTTTCAAGATTGTCTGTGACTTCAGTGGGCATGGAATTAACCTCATAAGTTTATGTCATGTCATTGCTTGATGTCCTGTTAAAATAATTATGTGCCATTTGCAATTGAATACCCTGGAGAATTAATCTTTCTCATAGCTGATGCCACGGCAATTTCAGTTCGATCTGAAAGCTGTCTGTCCTAAAACTAAGGAAGTTGTTGGCAAGTCATTCTCAATTCTAAGTCAGCTCTGGCTTGAGTGTACAGTGCTGAACTAGAACAATTTCTCTTTCAATATACTGAGAAATATTACATGCTGATATGCTGCACTGTAAAAGTTTTATTAGCTCGAGTTTATGGATCTCCATTGCTCTACAGTAAGAATGTCACAGATAAGTTATATGGGTCATCAGAAACCACTGCGCTGTCAAGTATTCGGTGTGTTTGCTTCATGCAGTTGAAGGGAAATGTTACTGAAGTTTTAAAACCTTTTAAAACCTTTATTGAAACTTTTTCATATTACTTCATTGGCAGGACTGGAGACTTAGTAGTCAAGATTTGCAGTCTGAAGGAAGCGCTAGAAACCTACAGAATTAATTTTCTTATGCATGTGTAAAAGCTGTATTTTCCTGTGATTTGTTGAGAATAGATCAGAAGCAGGGAAAAACACCTATTTCAGAATGGCCATTTCTTTTTACTGCTTCAATGAGAGACTAGAAATGTCTGTGGAGAACTTTTTAATTGATTGAACTACATCTCGTTCTGGAGATTCCTTAACTGGAAATAGCTAGAGACAGGGAGAGTGTCTTATATCTTTAGGTATCTATTTATGGCTCTTCTTGGGGGTGAGATACAGAGCCAGTTGCATGATTTGGTCAAACTCAGTACAGCTCTTAGATTCTGACTGTGTGTCATCCAGCTAACTGGGTCTCAAAGAACTTTATATTCAGAGAAAATGTCACTGATTGCAACTGAATTCCTTTAATTTGCCATTGGCTGGGTTTAAATTTTTTAACTTATTTTTGGTGGGGAAATGCTATAGTTTGGGGAGTGAGTTGTGTTAAATTGTTGGATCTCACAAGATACATGTCAGCTTGAGGAATAATCAAGTTTAGGTCACTTTGTCAGGAGTGTTTGCATGCGATTCTACATTGTACATAGACAGCACTTGACACATTATATTTGTTGGTCTTGTATACAAATGCAAACCCCAGACTCACCCAGCATTTCCAGGGTATTCAAAGTCAAACCTGCAAAGCTTTTTTTGTTGTTTTTGGTTGGTTTGGTTTTCTTTTTAGAAAAGAGGTGAAGGGAAATAGCAGAATTGCAGATGCACATATGAGAAATGACAGCATGCAGTATATTGGAAATAGCTTTCAGATGCAGGAAGTTTGTTCTAATAAGTACTTATTCTTCAGTTTGCTTCCTGTTTTTGTGACTTCCTCTTCTCACCCCAGTATTGCCTGCACTTCCCCACAGACACCTGGCACTAGTTACAGGTTTTGTCAGTCCCATTCCTTTCTCCTTATTCTTAGTGAATTCCCAGTTTCTTTTCTTAGGAGACTTTTGCTTTCCTTTTTTATTCACAGCCTCTTGTCCCAGCTGGTCAGACTTTTCTCCCAGCATGTCTCCGTGACTGGGATTCATGTAGATTAAAGCTGTCTGCATTGCCTGGAGATGGCTTTTCTCATATGGGCACCAGTGCTGCCCTTAGCATGTTGTACCACACATTAGCTCTGCCCAAAAAGGTACTCATCCAGCCTGTAAGAACAAGACATTCACAATCTTGTTAGCATTAGAAACTAGGAAGGAGGCAAGCATTTTCAATAGAGGTAGACCATCGGTGCAAGTATAAGGTGTTAAGTTCAAGTCAATCTGTTTTGAATTTTTACATTCTTTACTAAAGCTTTTTGCTTCATATCATTGTCAGATCTGGGAGGAATGCCATAGATTGGGTAAAAAGGTTGGACTAAAGGTTGGACTTGAAAAGTTGGACGAGATGATCTCAGAGGTCTTTTCCAACCTAAATGATTCTGTGAAAAACATACATATCTGTAAAAGATTTACCCTTAGGATTCAAGTTCATAAAACACAGAACTTTCCATTATAGATCTCATAGCTTGAATATCATAGACCATCTCATGTTTTTAGCCTCATTTTCAAGGCAGCGGGACCATTTTAACTGACAATTTCCAAAAATAATCAGCTTAAGCTAGACAAATTTCAGTGTGGCAAAATTGGAGGCAATCAAGAACAAAGAGTGAAGGAAAAAGAAGAACAACAGCAGTAATATGCTAGAAGTTGAGGTTATCATCTGGCCTCTAGTATGCATTGCCTTGTACAGCATATATTCCACAAACATAGGTGTTTACTACACGTGTATGCTGTTGTAAACATTCCTGTTTTGCTCTGCTTCATGTTGTTTATCAGGCCTTCAAACCTATTAAATTGAGAAGAAAAAAAAAAAGAAAAAAAATGTGGTTCTGAAAGCCTGTAGGCATAGGTGCATGCTGGCATTCTTCTGAAACTTAAATCTTAATATATAGAACTCAGAGCCCTCAAGTGAGTTACAAGGCACTTATTGAGTGAGGAGGGAATGAATATATTTCACAAACACCTATTAGTATTCTGTTTATACCCCAAGAGATTGAATTTGTGTCACCAAATTCAGTTGTTTGTTTCTAACACAGGAGTGTTTGCCAATTGTTTGCAAGAAAATGTATTGCCCTTTGCAATGAAAAAGAGAATAAAAGTAATAGCAATTAAGCAAAAATTTAGGATGTTGAAATTATCCTATCCTAGCATAATACATCTGTCCAAAAAAAGAAAAAATATATATAGAAACACTGTTAGTGAATTAGTGTGTGGCAGTGGTATGCTTTGATCTATGGTTGAACAGGGAACAAAAATGAAAACAGAATATTGAATCTTTTATTAATTTTTTTATTTTACTTGCAGGGGAAGCAGTGTGAAGTCTATTGCATGGAATAAAAAGTACAGAGGTCTTTAAATTTAAAAATGAGAACGTCCAAAAATATGGATGGTTAAATATATGACATAGGCTTCTAGGCTTCACACTATAAAGAAACATTTTTAAAATAAATCTTTCTCTTTCTAACCACAGGAGTTCATCTGGAATTACTTTTTTTTCAGTACCTTACATGATCACTGCCTAAATACAGGAAGGATTACATTTCTGAAACTTTAATTTTAATAACTACTGTTTATAAAAGCTAAATCTAGTCTTGCTATCTTTACTATTCAGGTGCTTTTAAATGCCTTCTGGATTTCTTTTTTTTTTTTTTTTTTTTTTTGACAACTTGGTGTGATTAGAAGGAAAAACGTATTTGAGACTTCTGTGGAATCACATGGCTTTAGTAGCTCTGTTTATAAGAAAAACACAGTATTGTGCAGCTCATTTTGACAACCTTGAACTCTAGCAACAGTGCAAATTAGAATTAATCGATTTCCTCATAAAAACAAAATTCCAAGGCTTTTTTTTCTGAATTTGTAAATTAATTTTTCTTCATAAACCCATGGGGAGATAGATGTTTTGGCCATTCTTAAATAAATAAATATATAAATATAAATATATATATATATATATTTTATATATATATATATATTTTTAATGGACTAGAAACACTTGAGATTATTCCATTCTGAAAGTTCAGCATCAGAGGTATTACCTTTAGATAACACCCAATGAATAGCTTAATCATTCTAACAATGGTAGAAGCAAGAACTTTGGACCCATGTTTCTGAAGTGATACCTAGTCTCCTTAATATCATGCTGCAGTAGTATTACTCTACTTTTTCTGTTGTTTTTTTGTTTGTTTGTTTGTTTTGTTGATGGTAGTTGTTTTTATTGCTGGTGATGATGGGAGGAAAGATTGTGGAGCTCTGATACATACATAAGCTGATCAACTAATCATTCTGTGCATATGCATTAGGTTCTCACAGACAGGCGAATTTTTTGAATGTAATAGATTCAGAGTACAAATTCAAACATTGTTCTTGGGAAAACTGCCTTTAAAAACTTATTGGAAAGGAAAATGTTCTTCTCTCTTCTTCACATTTTATATTTGTGTCTTGGTCATTATCATCTGAAAACTCCTGGTGAAAATTGTCAGCCTGCTTCATAGTAAACAGGTTACACCTAATCTAAATCCTAAAACTGTTTTAGGTTTTTGTTTAAGGCCAGACTTGATTTAACAGAGTTTATTGAGCTCCCTCTGATGTCTAAAGATTGTCATTCCGTGTCTTGTTAATGATGGGTGCCATATAGCTGCCTTATGGATTGGCAGAGGCTGTCAACATTATTGGAAAACTGATTTTCCAAGAAAGATTCTCAGCAGAAGACAATGAGCATAGGAAAACATTACAGCATATTTTAATGGAGTAATATAGCAAAGCCCAAACACTGGATGTAAGTTGAGGTTACAGGGCTTAGAGATTTTTTTAAATTTTTTTTTGTAGCGAGGATTCTCAAGCTGTAAAATGTGTGTAATGACACTTGAGCATTGAGGTATTTCAGGTGCTAGTGATGAACAAAAACTGCTGTGATTTGTAGGCCATTGCCATCCATCTCTTATGTTTACTTCAAAAAAAACTAAGTTCTGACTTTTCTACATAAAATCAATCATAAAGGCAAAAAGATTGAATGCTTCCAATTTCTCTAAGACTGATTAAAGAGATTTCAGTGGCAGGAATAGAAAACAGTAAATCAGCAATTACTTTAATGTGAATATTTGCAACATTCCTTTCTTAATGAATTATGGTGTGTTTTTTTTTTTTTTTTTTTTTAAAAAAAAAAAAAGCAAGCTTGCTTAGATATACATGACCATTTGTGTATCTTTGATAACTTGGCCTGTGTTTTTTGTTCTATTTAAGTCAGCCTGAGTAGGCAGTAACAGTAGCAGTAAGTTGTAAAAGAAACTGAAATTTCTACTAGTAGCCGTCATTTTGACAGCAGCAGTTTTCTTGCAGCGCACATGGGAAATATATTTGTTTGAGTTATAGAACGTTCTCTGGCAGATCAATGGGACCCTGGTCTAAGGCTTTTTTTTTTTTTTTTTTTTTTTTTTTCTCAGAAGTCTGATAGAAAAGTACTGTTGGAGGATTTGGATGGCTGTCCAAAGTCACTTTGTGTTAGGAAGCAGCACGTGTATATTTAATGACAGAAATTGGTCCCCCGCAAAGCTTATAGATGTAGTCAAACAAAACTTTCCTTTCATAGCTTTTTACCCCATCAGTTAAGAATGGCGGGGAAGGAATAGAAATTTCCTGTCTCTATTACAGAGCATCATTGTGAGGTCAGAGTGGAAACAGCCAATATGCCAAGAGCTTTAAGGTGAAAACCACGGTGCGTTTTAAGGACAGCCTTTCAAGTTTATTTTTTTCCCATGTCAAATTACAGTAGTGTTCTGGGAACAATGTGTAATGTGTTTGCAGGATTTTTATCCTTATTTCTATGAAGTATCATTTTCTTGACTGCGTCAGTGATCGAGTTTACATTAATGTGGATGCACAACATCTATTTGTGTTAACGACTTCTATATGTGCATGTCATGGAGAAGATGCATCAAATACAGCTAAACTGTGAGGCATGCTTCACTTTTCCAGTGCAATTTATTATTAATGTGAGTGATTCTAGTATGTGGTAGTATTGACTGAATGCGAGTTCATCATTTATGTTTTGCATTCCACTTTCACTAATTGTACCGTAAGTGTAAGAATAAAGAGCATAATTTATGTTCTTACTACACTGAAATACTAAATTCACAGAATACCTGCTACGGCAAAATGTGAATTTCCTATTGTACTAGCAATATGTCCTCCGCATGCTGAGATAATAAATAAAATATTGATGTACATAACAGACTTCTAATGGTTTTAAAAGTAGTTCTACAAGCTGGAGGGGGAAATAGCATATCGTTTTTAGATTAAGTTTGTTGTCAAAAATTTTCAGTCATATAACCACAGGAAAGCAATGATATAATTTTTCTTATTTGCAGTGTTAAAAAATCCTATCTGTAAGTTGTATAGATTCCCTACTTCTGACAACAAGTGGATGAGGATCCGTGAACAGATGGCTGAGACTACTCTCTCTTTCCATGTTCCTAAAGAACTGATCAATCTGCACATAAAGGAGGATATGAGAAGGTAAGGATGAGGAAGTAGCAATAGTCAATACTATATTTTATTTTTCTTAGAAAAAAGTGTGTGATGAGCTTAAAAAATAATAATTTAAACAATGAAATAGGCAAAATATAGTGCTCTTTTGCAGTTAAGAATTTGCAGCTGTAACTGAACAACAGAATTGATTGCTTGTAACTTTATAAGACTCTAGTGCGAGTGCATAAGTTCTGAGCTATGAACTGTGCTAGAATGCAGTCATGACTTGAAATGTGCAAGAATCAACATTTGGTTAACGATAAGCATTTTCTGAAAAGCTAACATCGTATACAGAAACAACACATGACAAGAGTGTGAACTGCATTGTAGAATTTTTGGCTTTGTGCCTTAGTAGCACTTAAACCATTGATAAATATTACGCAAGCAATAGAAAGGAACATGTTCATAGTTAGTAAAGAAGCAATGATAATACAAATCACTTTCTTTTAATTAATTTACAATATTTGGCATGAGAAAAAGGTATCAGGTATCAAAATAATATAATTTTGAAATCTTTGCTCATGTTGGGCCTTTTAATCAGGAAAGACTTAGGATCATCACAGTATGTATGGTGTGGGGCAAAAAGAGGCTAAGGATCACCAGTGGCCTAAAACTTGTTTGCCCACTGTAGGGACTAAAATTGTGATCTGCCTTTGAATAAGTTCTGCTGATACAGCTGGGACAAAAGCTAGTATTTCAAGTGGTCCAAGGCTTCCCTAAAATCTTACCTGTTTTTTCCAATGATACTGGATGGTGTAGTAAAAGATGTTGCCTCTTTACCCTTGAATCTTGCCTAAGTTGTCATCTTGTCTAATGCCTAAGAGCAGCACTGTAAGCTAATTCTGGATCCCTAAGTCATCCTGTGTGTTTTCAGGCATTCCCCATTCCACAGCACATTGGAGGGGTTCTTTATGGTGGTGGTTGGTCCTGCAGTAGGAGTTGCTATCTATTTTTATTCACCCCATCAGCTGCTTCTCTGTGATTTCTTTATGCCAATACAACAGTAGTTGTCAGGCCAGAATCTTGCATTTAATAAAGTCAGTGGACTGGTACATACTTCTGTATAGTGATGATGATGGGTTATAAAATCATATGTGAATCATTGTAATACTTTATTTTATTCATTAACACCATGTTTAGGTGCTTATGGGCCAAATCTTGTATGAAAATACTGATGTGTACTTTTTTTTAGTTAGCAATAAAAATAGATTATACTGAATACACAGCTCATCCACTTCCCAAATTTTCATTTGCCCCATGGGTAAATGCCTTTTAAGTGTTAGGGGATTACTTTAACCACTTTTATTTCTAATGTGTTATCGTCTCCAAAGCCATAATGGAAGTAACAGTGCTTGTTGTTATTTCAAATAATAACGTTCATCTAAAAGGAAAGAAAAAGAAATAAACAAAAAAAACAACACCCGTTACTGGTTATTTGTGTTAAATGATCTTTAAATACTCACTGAAATTAAGAAAAACTTGGAGGAAGAAACGTAAGTAAAAGTGGCTTGAAGATTGAGGCAAGTGCTCATGGTTTTCCTGACTGCCAGTGTGATACCAGTGCCATGTAGAAGATTAGGAGGGCAGTCTGAAGGAGGAGGTAAGATCAAGGGGAGTGACACCTTTTTGTAGGATATAAGCAGATGGAAGGAATAAGGGCATCTGTTTGCCTATCAGTGTACAAGCGTGTAGGTTGAAGCTTCAGCTTTGCACATGCTCTGCTGTCTGAAATAATTACGAAGATGTGTCCTCCTTATATTTGTCAAGTAGTAAATTAATGGAAGCAAGTTATTGCTATGCTAGTTCTTGAACTCTTATAAATCTTATGGTATACCATCTTGAGGTTCTTTCTTTCTGAAGTATTCTTCTCTGCATGTTTTTTTTTTCCCCAGTGAATAAATATTTTTCTCTCAGAGGCCACTTACTATGCTCAGCTTGTTTCATTTCATTCCTATTGTGGATTCAATATAGTCTGAAGCAATTACGTATAAAAGATATCCAAGTGCAATGTTAATCCTATTCAGTATTGTATTTTAAATTGTAATTTAAATTCTCTTTTCTCATAGCTCTTAGAATTGTTTATCACTTGATAAAACTACAATGTTCATTGTTAACCAAACTTTTTTCATTTTTGGACTTGATATTCTGAAATATGTAACCACTGAGGATATTTGTTTTTCAGCATGGAGTAAAGATTTAAAGATATTCATGCATTAAAGATATTGTCAAATCCTTCAAACCTCTTTGGAGGAAGTTTTAATGAGTTATGTGGTCATTTTTACTGTTCTAACAAGGGCCATATAATCTACTTTGGTGCTTTTCATTACAACAAAAATGTTTCTTCTTCAAGGGTTTTCAGTGGGTCCTTTCCCCTGTTTCTCTACACTGATCTTGTCCACATTTTTTATACCTATCTTTTATACCTTAGTTTATAAGTCGTTCAGAATTTTTTCCAGCCTGTGTAATCCAAGCTTGCAGTTGTGGATGTGGTTTTTGTTGTACTAGATCAGCATAGAAAGGGTTGTTAGGCATTGGAATGGGTTGCCCAGGGAAGTGGTTGAGTCACCATCCCTGGAGGTATTTAAAAGACGTTTAGATGTAGAGCTTAGTGATTTGGTTTAGTGGAGGACTTGTTAGTGTTAGGTCAGAGGTTGGACTAGGTGATCTCAGAGGTCACTTCCAACCTAGATGATTCTCTGATAGCAGGAGAATTAGGAAAACACAGTAGAGCCCGCCATACATGTCTTTCAAATTTGTTGCTAAAGCTCTTTTTGAGTTCCTTAGGGCCAAATTCAGTTTTGGCTAAAAGGAAATTTCACCTACTTATGGCTGAATTTGGCCGATAGCATCTGTGGTCACAGCCTGTAAACAAATTTCAAGGATAAATTGCTCAACTTCCCTTGACCCATCTTTCCAGAGTACAAAGTGCCTTCCAACTTTCCTGCTGCAATGGCTGTCCTGTCCCAACTCCAGTAGCCTTTTCTCATGCCAATTTATCTTGTGGTCAGTCTAGTATAGATTTCACAATCTGTTTTTTGAATTCTTCCTTGCAACATTCCAGAATTCTAGATTGTTTGAAAGATAAATGTTTTGCTCTATTCTTTTAATATAAAACCTCTGTAGAGAAATGGAGACACAGGCAGAAATGCTCTGTATTGGCAATGTGCATTGATTTTGTGGACCTTTGCACATAAGTTTTTAAATTACTTGTTTTTGAACAATGGCACTGCAAAAACATTGTGTTGATGGATGTAGTGTGGAAAAACTACACCAAGTAAACTTATCGTAACTTTTTAAGCTGTTGGAACGCACCACGTTTATATGGACACTGTTAATATGATCTGGCATCCACTTGAAGACTTTTAAAACCTTATCTCAGATTTTAACTCAATATATTTTTCTCTCAGAGGCCACTTACTATGCTCAGTAACTCAAACCTAGCATGATTTTTCATGGAAGAAATTTTTTGAACCCTTGAAACAAAAATTTTAAAAAAGCAGCAGTAGAACATAGTTCAACTACATGTATGTGAAGGTATTTACCCTGCTGTGCATCAGAAAGGATGCAAAATATCTCTTTCACCATCAGATGCTGCATATAGGAATATAAATGTACAAATGCAAGTGTAACTTAAATTTTTGAGTAGATTGTGGACAATTGCCTACCTGCAACATGATTCAATTTATTACCATGCATTTATACATGAATAGAAGTTATTTTCATGTGTGAATACTATATAATTCTTTGTACTCTTGATTTCACTATTCATAACTAAATTTGGAAAAGATGGCAACTGTTTAAGTCTAGGCGGAATTTTCATCAGACTTAACGAAGTCGAATTTGCTGGGCTCTACTTTCTACACTGGGTGTTTAAAGCTGTAGTATGTTGGAACGGAGGAATACTTCCTCATTTGTTCTGTGGTAGTTACCTATAGGTAACATTATTATTATTCAGCAGTGCTGAAAGTTATAAAATGTTAACGCACCGACTACCCTGTTAGAGAAAACTTTGTGTTGCTGTTCTGTGCAAAGTCCACATAGATTTTAAGACTCCAGAAAGTAATTCTGTACCAATGAGCAATGCTTCTTGGAGATTGGTTGGTAAAATTTCTAGTTGTTTGTGCACAGCATGCCCTGTAATCAAAGAATTCAGTATCAAGCAAATGATCTAAGTTGTTGAGTCTCCAATGTGGTAGTGAAGAACAGAAAAATACAAAACCGAAGTAAAAATAACCTTGTTTTCAAGGCTGTAATTATTTAAATACAAATTCTGTCTTCACTGAAAGAAATCTTAACTTCTATGTGGTTAACTAGATTTTGTACTTACCAGTAACCTGTGCTTCTAATAGCACTAAGTTCGGTGTAATTTTGTCTTTTCATGTCACTTGATGCAGAGTATAAATTCAGAGACACTAAGGTGTAAACATGATTTAAAAAAAAAAAAACAAGGCCCTGTACAATTTTATCGTTACTGATGTCATAAAGACAGCACAGTTAATTTTGAATGAGACACTGATTAATAAGTTGGGGGAAAAAAACACCCACAGAAGTGTTTAGATGCCTGAGTAATAAAGCAATTAATTATATGATTAATTTTCCCACATATATGATTCCAAGCTGAAAGAAGGGAAGTGATAAATAAAAACTGTCAAAGTAAAATGTTGTTTCAGCTCTACGATATAAGCAAAACGATTGTCTTTATTTGACCCAAGATGATTCTACTATATCCTGATACAGCAGGAAAATGTAAAATAAATATATAATAAAAACAAACAAACAAAACCATTCACAATTGATAATTACTGAAAATAGAATTTAGGTGTAAAATGTAAATTCTATAGGTGCCATACTGAATATTACTGAATTTGAGACTCTGCAATCACGCGATTCAAGAAAATTATTCTTTGCTTTTAAAATAAATCATAGATCTAGCTTCAAATGCTTATGCTATTTGAAGATTTGAGTCTCTGAAATAAACACAGGTAATAAAATATCCCAGGAAGGGAAATAGTTTCAAGGCAGAAAGAAAGGAATGGGTTTAATTTAGCTGTTGTGTTGCCTCTGCTTTTGAATAAGAAAAACTGGAGTGGATAGAGATGCAAAATGAACTTTAAAACTCCAGCTGTCAGGGACAGTTCAAAATATTCTCAAGACTGTGCAAATCCCAGTTTATTCTCCCTATATACATGGAGAAAACAAGTTGTAAAATATTAAGATGCTTTTTTTGTGTGTATATCTACTTTTTTTTTTTTTTGGACTAATGTTTGAGGAATGAAATAGATAAACACCATCTCATTTTCAGTTATCTGGCATGTTGGTCATAGCAGAAGCTACAGCAGTTTTCAGAAATTCTGTAAGAGGAAAAACAGCTTCTGAGAGGTTCTCAATGAAAAACATCAGGAAAGAAAGAAAAAGTATCATTTTATTCATTTTCATGGTAGTTTCCCCAGAAGGGATTAAATCCTTCTTAGTAATTATTTGTCTGCTTTAGAAACAATATAGTAAAAAGGCTATGATTTTTTTTATTTCTGGAGAGGATGTTACATTGTTTTGATGGGTTATTGCCTGTATATCACAGGGACCATAACTTGTTATAAAGAAAAATGAGAGTAATTTTATCTGCTTCTATTCTTCAATAAGATGTAATGGTTGCCCATAAATATGTACATTTTTAAGTAAAATTTGTTAGGAAAACTAATTCCTTTGCTCCTTTCCTTAGAAGGAAACTTTTAAGTTTCCATTACTTATGAGAGATTGATTCATGCCCCAAGCTTATGGTTTATATTTACTCTAAAGCTCCCGTTTGATAAGTATTCAAAACTTTGTTACCTTGATCCTGTTCCTGTATCCTTACAAGAAAGTGATAAGAAGTGTGATAAGAAAGAGTGACTTTTTCTGTTACAGTGGTCATTAGAGTGCATTCACAAACCAAACTGTTTAAGTAGAAACTATCAGCATGAATAATAGAATAAATTATTTGTGCCTCTTTCAGGTACTTGCAGTAGTTTGCTATAATCCCACGGCTGCATCCTTCAATAAGCAAAGTTTGAGTTGGTAAATCAAAAGGTAGAATGTTAATCTGAGCCTTGGGTGTGCAAACTTCCATTGATTTTTTTTTTTTCCCCAAGTTCAATAGGCTTCACTGAACATTTGCTTGGAATCAAAAATCCTGCATAGTTTTAAGTTATGATTCTGACGGTAATGGTATTTAATTGCTTGTAGCCTTAAAAATGTCATGCAGTCTTTACAAATCTCTGGGTGCCCCAATGCAGTTGTTTATAAAGAGAAGAACAGATGTTTTTACCTAAGGAATGATCTTGCCAAACCATCTTGTGTATCAGCAGCTTGCCACACAACCATACTTTCCATCAGCAGGGGAAGGTTGGGTAAAGCTCAAGTCCCCCAAAGAGCCAGGTGTCCATGAATTGTAGCTCTGTAAATCAGGAAGATATAAGCTGTTGTTGGTTTTAAGTAGGAGCCTGAAATGAAGATTCATGACAGCTCTAATAGTGCTGTGGGATCCTGAGGAGTCTCATAATTTACTCTTATAAATTTTTGTCTATTTAAAATTGTATTGTGTTAGTACCAATGACCATTAATCTTTGTACTAAGGATCATGATAGTATAGAGTGCTTTCAACAGGTCAGGATCCAGTATTTAATTTTTCTGCCATAATGGCAGAAAAGTTTTGAAGTAAAAAAAAAAAAAAAAAAAAAAAGTAGATTTGCAATTTTGAAATGTGGAACTTCTTCCAACCATAATGGCAAGCGCTTAATGAAAGCTTGGCATACTTTGTGTACTAAAGGAAAAGAATGGATGTGAGAAAGTGCCCTAGAAAGGCTTAAAAATAAGTTAGCTTACATTTGTGGAGGAGGAGGAGGAGGAATGGCACAGACTGTTTACATCCTCTCTGATTAGACACAAAATGGAGCAAGCTTGTGCCAAGGTCTCAGAGGAAGATATTAAAGTAGTTAAGGCAGGAGACAATGGAAGTTGAGACTGTCCTGGCTGATATTTTCCATTAGGCACTGATAGAAAAGACTGTCTTGGAGGTGGTGTGTGGAGCTAAACAGCAAGATGTAGGAAACAAATCTTGGATTTGATTGTGTAAGAAGGGCTAAAGTTGATGCTAAGCACAAGATGTGTCATGGTGGTGAGTGCAATTACCTGGGAAAGACCTTCAGAGGGGATTTGGAATGGGGGAAGATCATGAAAAATAGCTCTGTTTTACAATACTGAGTGTGCACTGATCTTACTGCTCTGTTGACAAATTATTTGAAATTCCATGCTTGAATTGAAAAGATAATTCTGTTTTCAGCCATGTTTCAGAACAGAGTTGCACTGAGTCACCAGCAGCAGTGTGACAAACAGTAAGAATTCACAGCACACAAATAGTATCCAAATCCAAAATGTCTTGGATTGATTATTGCATTTGGAAAAAAAAAAAAAAAAAAAGTAAAATGTGCAAGAGGGCTGTTTTTGGAGGGATAGTATACATGCCATATAATCCTATTATCTGGTATTTTTGATTTTTTTCTATATTAGTTTAAAATGGCAAGTTTTATTTAAACATTGCAGATGAGATGCATTTTTTGTGAGATACTGGCGGCTGTATTTTGACTTCAGTGATGTGTGTTTCTGAGATGAAATAAATGCAAGCCTTGTCGACAGTGATAAGAGCAGGATTTTTCATTCCTTGAAAACACATTAAAGTTAATGTGGTGGGATTTCAGCTTGCCCTTCCCATTGCTTTTGGTGTAACCGAAGTCAGCCAGTTAAACTAGTTTCTGTACACAAGTGATATTTTAGTCTGAGATAAGGGGTTTTTGCTGCTGCTGTTGCTTGGCATAAGTATGGGACCAGCAGCTCCAGGGGCGGACTTAGATGGAGGCAGGAGAGCAGAGCCCCAGCACTGGGTTTTCCATGGAATAGAGGGCTCTGAGTGTTATGCATTGATGCATCCAGCTCTCACTGTATAGTATTTCTTCAGTCTCTGCAGAGTAGTGTACTGCTGTATAGGAGGAAAAGACAAGTTTAGATTGAGTCAGGAACAAGCATTGTTTCTAAAAATATTAAAGATCACATTTGAAATATTAAGGGCCAAATTACCTTCACTACAAACAAATAGTATTCTATGCTCTGCCAAATCTCGAGGGGTGTTTCTTAGTTGGAAGCCGTGAGATTTTGACTCAGTGAAGTGTCCCATTTTAAGCTGATGAAGGTTTATAAGGAAAACGATGATGGAAAACGGTGGGGCTGACCTCCTAGTGCTGATGATTCTTATGCTACACCATTGCCAGTTTATATCAATGGTATATTAATGGAGGAAGATTAAACCATGTCATCTGCTTCTGTTCTTTTAGGTCGAATGAGATGAAAAACTGATCATATGTCATTAGTAAACTCCAAACAAGTTAATGTATTCTAGTGTTTGTTTCCATTTTGATACTTTCAAAGACATCTGAACCGAGCAAAATACTTTAATTTGCTTTTAATTTTGCTTGTTGCCTTAGGTAGGAGCAGAATTATGCCTGTATAGCTTTTTCTAGTACTGTTCACTGTAGTGCAAAGCCAATAGTGATGGGGAAAGCTATGTATTGGTTTGTGTGTGTGTTTTTTTTTCTTTAAGAAATAATTCTGAGAATCTTTGGCTAGTGGTCCAAACTGTTGCTTTAAGTATAGCTATGTTCCTGGGCAGCAGTCTCATTGGTGTTCTTCTCACCTTTTTATTTTTTCTCCTCTTCCCCTTCCCCCCTCCTCTTTTCCCACCCCCCTGCCTCTCTTCCTCTTCAGTAATTTTCATATATCAAGGACCTGTCCTCTGGAATTCTTTTCTGAGACTTCCAAGAATTGCAGTGAAATAGTCTGCTTGATGTTTTGAGGAACATTAGGAAAACTAGTCGGTCGGTTTACATAAGTTTTCTCCCAAATAATTCCAAGCCTCTGAAGGCTTGAGATATTTCAGCTTCTTTAAAAGCAGAACACCCTAAGTGGATCTGGGGTTGGATTTACTTTTCAAGTGAGGAAAAAAAAAAAAAACAGCCAGAAACATGGTAACCATGCTTGTTTGTGCAGGAAACGAGGGATCTCTATTTCTTTCAGGTCAGCTCTCAAAAGAGCATACAGGAAAACTGATAATTTGCTAAAGGATTTCCTTTCGGATTTTCAGTGACATGTTTGGTTACCATAACACTGCTGTTTTGACCTGATGAACACAGCTGTAAGGCTGAAGATTAAGTTTTAGGGAAATGGTGGCTTTCTGTTTTATTTTGTGTTTTGTTGTGCATGTAGCACAAAAGGATGTGTATGTGTGTGGGGGGGGGAGGTGGACTGTTTATGTCTGGTAGTGTGTTGGATAAACTGACATTTGTAGAAATATGTATTGATGTGTAAGACAGTATCCAAATATAATGATGTATAAGACAGTATCCAAAGAGTAGAGTTTATAGAACAGCTATGCTGCAGTCACTGGAGAAGGATTGAACTTCGTATACTTTACAATGGTGCTTAGCATTTCCTCACAAAATGTTGCTTACTGTGAACAGAGCTCTTTGAGCCTGGAAGCCGCCTTGCCTCCAGGGGAAAAACAATATTTCAGCTTGCGTTTGTACCAGAAGAATTCTGAACGCAGATAACTGCATTATTCACTCATTTGGCATTCTTTGTTGCAAAGTTGAAAAACGGAGCTGATATCACCGAACTTCACAATTGCCATGAGAATAGACCCAAGATTTTACTTCAATTGGGAAGTGCTTTTGATGTTTTATAACGAACTGTTTTGGGATTAAGTGGATTCATTTGGTTGAATGTGAATGTTAATAGATTAATGAATTAATGCCATCTCTTTTTGCCTTTTGGTACAGGAATCAGGAACTTAAAGACTTGGGAGAACTTGCTCCTCACTGGGACAATATGCGTAAAAGTGTTATTGCACACTGTGATCAGATGCTGAGCATGTATCAGGATACTCTTGCAGAGCTTGGGAAGCATACAGGTATGAAACTCGCCTCCCCTCTCCTCTAGCACTTAACAGTCAACCTAGTTAATTCTAATTATAACCTGGAGTACTGAAGTATTCAGCAGTAATAAAACATGTAAAAAATCATAAATAATAATTTAATTGTTGTATTTCTGAGATATTCAGAAGTACTCTTACTTCTAAAATTTTTTCATACATTCCAACAAGTTTTCACAATTAACGTAGTATATAGTTATGCAGCAGCCAAAAGATTTGAGAAGGTGGGTGTGCCTGTTTTAATTGCATGTTCCCTTGATTTTGCTGCTTTTCTAGTACTGAGTACCATCTGCTAGCTGAAAACAGCTAGTAGAACTACCACAGAGGTAGTTCTGAGCTTTTCTTGAAACCTAAGCTGCATTTAACTGTAGACAGGATAAAAGTGGCATGCTCCACGTATCCTTAGTGTAGCATTTGTCATTGGCCAGGTTGTGCCAGAATAGCATGCAATTTATATAGGATGGACAGTCTGTCCAAATTCCAGAGGAAGCGGTATGTACTGTGCTTGTTTTTTTCAGATGAAGATAGTTTTGTCTTGTATTCTGATGTGTACTGGTTGGTTGTTTGGGTAATATTTGTCAGGGTCCTATGGTCAAGGACTGTTATGTATTGCAGTGTCTACATGCCAGTTAAATAAGACAGCATCAGTGAAAAATGTGCAGAAAAGAAAGCTGATCTTTTTCTCCTGTAGAAATTCTTACTTGTAAAAAAGAACAAGAAAGGTCTGCAGAACTAACTATTTCTTGGTTTTGAATTACTTTTCTTTTGGTTGTTCACAAATCATTCAAAAATATGGTAATTCTTTTCTGTTTTGCGAGACTACTGGAATTATTTCCTGAATAAAAAATAACACTATTTTGAGAAAACAATTTTTTCTTTCTGTTCATAGCATGCCTTTCACCCCAACCCCCTGTAGATTTTGAGATTTTTCTGGAAGAAATAAACACTTTTGTTCTGAATGACTACAGAGGCCTTGTTGTTGCTGCTTTCTTGCTGGTGTCAGTTTTCTAATGCCAGTCCTCACAGTCACCATCTCAATATGTGTTCTCTGTGACTTTGCTGCCATTATTGCTTGGATATGCTCCTTCTGCTGATATATTCTCACCACTAGCTGCTCCCAGTAGGGCCTTACTCCCACAGCTTTGTGCATGGAGGCACAGGCTTGCCAGAGGTAAACAGGGCTTTGTGCATTGTGTTGCAAATATAACAAGCTTGCAAGAGATAACATCTTTTGAAATATCAAATAATAGGGACAATTTGCAGTACTTTAACTATTTCTAGCTTTTTACAGTCCTGTAAAAACAAACAAGCCCTTTTTATTTACTGAGAAATCAAGCAACCAGATTTTAGTCCAACACACAACTAAAATGCATAGCAATTTCTTATACAGAACTGAACACTTTTCTAATAATGGGTCTGCTGCTTTTAGTAGGCAAGAACCAAATATTTCTTTTCCAAAATAATCACTAAAACTGTACTTTTGTCCTTTATACATTATCTTCTAATAGAAGATTGACCATGGCATTTGTCATTCCAGGTTGCTCTGGGATTTCTTTCTTGGTCACAGGAAAAGAGAAATCCTGTTTTAGTGTATGAACAAAAAAAAAAAAACAGCCGCTAACTGAAACCAAACATTTTGGCAGCAGTTGATCACTGGGGGGAAGCTCATCTGTTGTGTAATCATTTGCATTTTGGTTGCACAACTGTAATTTCTTGTATTTATGATTGTTTACCATCATCAGAATATTCCAATTCTGATTTTGGCAGACTACTGCCTGATCCAGTATGACACTCCTTATGTTTCCGTGTTGTAACTAATACACATTTTTTTAAATGCTTTGTTGATTACATTTTGAAAACACTCCATAAAATATCATATGCAAGGAAATAAATACAGATGGTGAAGGAGTCAATGTAATAATTAACACTTTCAGCAAAATATTGAAATGACTTTTTGAGATTTAAAAAAAAAAAAAAAAAGACAATTAAATCTATTAAATTTGAATCCTGCAAGGGACTGTATTGTGATAAGTGATTTTGAAAATGGCTGGTGATATTGAATGATATTAAATTAACCATGATTTGAGATAACTGCAGTGGACCAGGGAACCCAAGATTATCAAGAGTAATAGTTGTACTTAAAGACTTAACATAAATGAGGAGGAGTTAATTTGGAGGTCAATGCTCAGGTACACACCTCAATCTCATTTCTTGAACAACATTGTTTTACCTCAGCATTATGGTGCTGGTGAAATACATGTATATATTTGCAAAACCCTAATTTTCATTTTGTGTGAAAACTTGATATCTTCTCCCCCTGGACACAAGGGTGAAAAATAAGGATAATGCAGGCAGAGTGTTAACCCTGACAGGTGACCAGATTGAGGGAAACTTGACTTGAGGAGTTATCTGATATTCCAGTGTGTCATAGTCTCTTAGGGACCTGGAAATTGGGGTCACAGATGTTTCTGTGTTTGAGGAGTAGGAATAAAGGAGGTGTAGCTAAGTAAGAGACATAGTTAATCTGTTGTTGAAGATGTGCCTGGGATTAGATTACAAGATTTTCAGCCAGAGAGAGGGAGGTTTAAGTTATTTTTGCATCTATCTTGATCTTGGATCTCAGAATCATAGAATTATTTAGGTTTGAAAAAACCTCTAAGGTTATCTAGTCCAACCTTTTAAGTCCAACCTTTAGTCCTCTCGCTGTGGAGAAGATATACCTTTTGGTTTCCTTTTGGTTTCCTTTGAGCTCATGAGATAACCTTTACTGCTCTTTTAACATAATATAATATCATACAATTTTCTTCAGTCTGAAGTACTGTAATAAAAAAAAATAGTAATGCGGCATGAAGGAGAATAATGTTCAGCAAATCTTGAAAATAATGGATATGTGACTGAATATTTTCAGCTTAACTTCTTAGTTTGCAGCTTGATCCCAATTTTAAAAATGTTTTTATATACACTTATTGTTGGCTCTGAGTTGTCTGCTTCTCGATTAACTGTATATTCATTTACCTCTCTACAATGTATTCAATCAAAAATTTAATTGTGGTTCAAATCCATCTTAGAAAACTTGAATTTTAGTTTATTTCTACAAATTATATACTTGAAAATTGGTTTGTTCTGGATTATGGTCCTGTAGCATGCTGATTAACTTCCACCAAGCATTTACGCCCTGTGCACAACCACTCGATCTGCCTTGCTTGAAAACTGGAGGCAAGATATTCCCTATGAATATTTCTCATTCTTTAGCAAGTGAGAATTACCATAAAGCGAACATATCTGCACCAAGTCCAACTTTGTAGAGTAGACAAAAAAGGGAGTTGAACTTTGAGAATGTTATTTGCTTGTTTTTATTTTGACCTGAAATGATTTTTTTTCCTGGTGTTCTTTTTCTCAGTGATCAAAATGAGAATTCTGTTGTTTGTCCAGCTGTAGAAGGAGAGAGAAAGATATGATCGAGGTTAGGGCAACTGAATATTGCTCTGGGGAATTGGATATTATGCCTGCCTCCGTCAGAGTTCCGATGTGACGCTAGGCAAGTCAGACTTTTCAGAAGTCATTAGTTTGTTCTTATTTTCTGGAAGTCTGGCAATACACACAGGCTGTTTTGTAGGAGTATTCACTGCTGATGTATATAATTCATGTCAGTGGGAGCCGTGCTTTGGAAATGTAACATGTATGATATTTCATATTTGGCAGAATCAGATCCTCCAAGTCTCATATTAATGCACTGCTTCTTAAATGCTTCAACCTTAAGTTAGTCTCTGTGATTAGAATAGATGAGATTATAACAATTTTATGTATCCAGTTAAACTTATCCTCTAAATGTTTGTAAAGCCCTTAAAACTGTAGTGCTCATGCAGTAGAAACTGCAGAAACTAATAATTCTGTCTTTGTGGAAGGCTTGAGCAGTATAGATGTATTTAGAGTAAAAGGTGGAAACAAAATATTGAATTGCTGCTTCTGAAGTAAGCACCGAAGACCCTAAGTGCTCGATGAACTGGAAAAAGCTATTAAGTGATACGGAATTCAAATCTACTTCAGAGTTTCCTGTTAAGGTGAATGTCAGAGGAAGCTTACATCTATGAGCCCGTATTTCCTAACTATGAAGAGTTTGATCTTGTAACAATTATAATAATTATTTTAATAGAGAAATTGTAGTTTTCTTAACCTAAAATACAGCTTAAAACGTTATTGTATTGGGTTTATGTGTCAAGAGTTTGATAGCAGGGGGCTGCAGGGGTGATCTCTGTGAGCAGAGCCCAGCAGCTTTCCCATTTCAGATCAGAGCCAGCTCCAGATGGCCCCAAAAGCGATCTGCTGCTGTCCAGAGCTGAGCCAGGGAATGATGCTGGTTGGGCCTCTGGGAGAGCAGGTTGAAGAAAGGGAAACAACTGCTGTGCAACAGCAGCTGGGAGAGAGGAGAACCAGCCCTGCAGCCCCCAGGTGAGTGCAGCAGGAGGAGGGCAGGAGGTGCTCCAGGCACACAGCAGCAGTTCCCTTGCGGCCTGTGGATAGGCCCCTGGTGGAGCAGGCTGTCCCCCTGCAGCCCATGGGTCCCACATGGAGCAGATCTCCACACTGCAGCCCCCCCATGGGTGGAGGAGCCCCCGGTGGAGCAGGTGGATGTGGCCTGGAGGAGGCTGCGGCCCATGGAGAGCCCCCATGCCTGTAGGCAGCCCCTGCAGGCTCAGTCCGAGAAGGACGGCATCCCCTGGGAGGGACCCCAGACGGAGCAGGGGCAGAGAGGGACTGTGAGGGAGTGGCGGAGATGAAGTGTTAGAGACTGACCGCAGCCCCCATTCCCCTGTGCTGCTCAGGGGGAGGAGGGAGAAGAGGGTGCAGGAGGGAAAGAAGGTGTTTTTTAATTAGCTTTTAGTTTCTCACTGTGCTAGCCTGCTAGTGATAGGCAATACATTATATTGATCTCTTTATGCTGAGTCTGTTTTGCCCATTACAATAACTGATGAGTGATCTCCCTGTTCTTATCTTAGCCCTTGAGCCGTTTCCATTGCATTTTCTTCCCTTTTCTTTTGAGGTGTGGGAGTGAGAGCGGTTGTGGTGGAGTTCAGCTGCCCAGCATAGTGAAACAACCACAGTTATTTAGAAAAAAAACAACCATCCAAACAAAACATCCCACAACCCTGAAAATGAGTTTTATCACATGGATGATACTGGCAGATGTGGATGGAAATATTTAATTCCACTGCATGGATTTCTCATACCTGGTTAAAAAGAGTAACTAATAGCAGTGGATTTTTCTCATGTGTTACTGACATTGGAGGGGAACGGATTCTTGCTTCACAGGTCTTCCCTGAAAAGAGGAGTAACAGGACTCGGCAGTGCTTTGTGTGTTCTACTTCAGCTCAGGACAGAAGTGTACTCCATGACATGCAGGCTCTTTTCTTCTCCCTCCTACTCTTTTATTTTGCCTGTCCCTTTTAATTTTCTCTTACCTCACTCTCTTCTTAGTCCATCAGTGTTTCCTTGTCACAGATTGTTATCATCCCTCAGACTTTGACCCTGGTCTCAGCTGAATTCTCATAAATCATTTGCCCCCATTCTGTTTTCTTCCCTAATAATTCCAGTCTCCTCACCTGTGCTACTCCCATTTTGTGTTTGACACAGTTCAAGTTCCCTTCACTGCTCATAATTTGGTGTTCACTGCTCATAATCCTGTGCTTTTCTGATGCATGTTTTCTCATTTGTATTTGTCCTCTTGAATTACTCCTTTTTTCAACCTGTACCTGAGTTTTCCTATCAAATCTAAATATAATTGATTCCTTAACAGTCGCTTTTCTCATTAACTTGGCTTTAATTCTCCATTCAAATTATTATTACTTAAAGTTGCTAACCTTAGACAGCAGCCTCCATAGGCCTACAACTATTTAGGTGAAGTACCTGGCTTGGCTTTGTACAAGTTTGGTAATACCTTTGTAGCTTCAGTCTGGGGGGTCATTGGTGCTGTCCTGCAATATGGTTTGCATTGGGAGGCTGAAGCAGTTGTCTTGGAATTTTTGGCTCTTTCAATAGAGAACCTCTTGCAAATTTTGACTGAGCAAATCAAAAAAGAATTGCAAAAAAAAAAAAAAAAAAAAAAAAAAAATTAACTTTCCCCCCCATAACACAAGAAGAAGAAAAAACATTTGAGAGACTGTGAGAGTAGAGGAGAGAATCCTATCTGAATCAGAGAAATTTTAGTCCAAATACTTAGCAGATGGCTAAATGACAGGATACTAACAAAATGGTCTAAGTTAGTTATGCTACCTAAGTGAGAAGGTAGGATCACCTTTCTTTCTTATCTACACCCTTTTGCTTTATATAAATATATATATATACACACACATCAAATGCCCTATCAAATATCTCCCCAAAAATTATTTTATTAGCCAGATTTTAATTATATTCCTATATGCTTATAATTATATTCCTATACAATAAACTCATAAACTCATACTTTTAAAGTATATAGCCAGATTTTTTTGGAGCTTTGTATTTCTTGTAGTGCTGGATTTCTTTAGGAAAAAATAATAATTTACAGCTTTCCTTAAACCAATTTACTATAAACTTTCTAGGAAAAGTACGTAGCCCAGTCAACATATTTCTGTTTAAGAAACAAAGGTTATTCAGTGAAAATATAGTGCCATCATAGCTCTGCACCCCTGTGTTTATTGAACAGAATAAACGTAATACCCATTAACTGTGGCAATGTTTCCAGCAGGCTGCAGACCTACTTCAGACAGCAGGGAAAAAAACGTCTATCACCTAGTATAAAAAATTAGATTGTTCTGTGAATTAAAAGCTGTTTTGTTGCATGCAGTATGGATACATGCTGAGACTCAGTTAGTGAACCATTCTTCTGCTAATATACAATTACACATTAAAAGTAAATTAAGGAAGGCTGCTAACGTACAAGTACTGTCCTCACATTAAAAAAAAGACAAAACATCTGCTGGGTGCTTAAGATAATGATTCTTTAAACTTTTGTTTTTCAGGTTCTTCCTTCAAATCAAGCTGTAGCAAAGGAGAAAAAACATTGGAATTCATCCCAATAAATCTCCATTTGCAAAGAATGCACGTGCATAGTCCGCGATTGAAAGGTAAAGCATATTCTGCAGAGAAATCCTCTGAGTATGAAAAAGCATACTTTGAAATACAATTAAACTTACATCTGAAAGAGGCAGTTCCCATTTTAGCCCTTTTTAAGATGCAAGTATCTTAACTTACATATCTGGTTTCAAGAATCATCATCAGATGGACATAAAGTTTTCAAATGAAACATTACAACAACAGTAGGTCTGAAAATTATGCTGTTTGGAGAGTTGAATCTTGGTCTTTTTTAACTTTTCACTTACTTGAAGGATACTGGCAGCAGTGTTATTAAGTTTCATGGATGGGGCATAAAGATGCTTCAGGAAAAAAAAAAGGCACAGAAAGTAGTAGTAGTAAGTTGATTTTTTTGGTAAATGTATGTGATATTTAGACTGCAGATGAGTTTGGAATAATGCTGAGACTGAAATAATTTCACAGGAAGTACTTCAACTTAAAAACAAAACAAAGGAGATTTGTTTCATTTATTTTTTTTAAATTGCTAATCACTGAATTTTGTATGATATTAGATTGTCTAAGATTTCTGAAGTATGGCTTGATATAGAAAGCTCCTTACATGACTAGATGATTGCTTTTTTCTTTTTAATAAAATTAAGTTTCCAAATTTAGTATTTAATAACTTAAACAGTGAAACATCTACAGGAGTATAAATTTCTCACTTTATTTTTTTTAATGGGCCCTACAAGCTCTGCAAGTGGACATTTCCTGTCTTTGTTTTGTGCCCTAATCTGGAGCCTGCCCATTTTCCTTCATGGTTTGATTTCATTCTCTCAGGTTTGTGCACCTGCTTCTACACCCCAAACTTTCTGTTTTGAAAATTGCTTTGGAAATATTCTAGAGCAACTGAGGATGTACTGTCCTTAGAGAACAACTTTACAACTTGGAAAACAAAATTACAAGTAAATCACTGTCCTTAGAGAACAACTTTACAACTTGGAAAACAAAATTACAAGTAAATCACTGTCCTTAGAGAACAACTTTACAACTTGGAAAACAAAATTACAAGTAAATCATGTAAACAAAGAAATGACCAGCTAACCCTTCCCTCACTTTTCTCTACAAATTCTGAAACCTGCACCCACACATACTGCTGTTCAAATGGATGGGAAGCTAAGAAAACCAAGAAATCAGGTCCCATGTTTCAGCTATGCAAGGAATTTCTGTCTTGTCTTCTGAAGCCGCAAACTTTGGATACTGACTGCAGATCTCGGAAAACTAAGGAGTGGTTAGCTAAATTTCTTTTGAATTCTTTATTAATAAGTTCCAAGGAGTGTTTGCGCTTTTTTTGATGACACTTCAAACAAATAAGCAAATGCAGAATATATGTGCATTGAAATACATTTGTAACCCTATGCATAGTTCAAAATGTTGTCATGTAACAGTGCAGAACTAATACTGTCATGTTTCATACTGACATACTGCACAATGTTCAGTAAGATTCATGCGCTTCTAGGGCGTTGACTGAATTTTTCATTGTGATCCATAGTGCCAATAGTGGTGTAAAAGCCAATCTTATCTGTTTTGTTTCTAAGGTGTTTTTTTCACTGTGCCACCAGAGATAATGGTAGAGCACATTAAATTTTCTCCCAGAGATTGCCTGGATGAACTCACCAGCCTAGGTGATGTAAGTAGCACGGTTCCACTAAGGACAACGTGACTTCTGAACTTAATATATCCTATTTCGTAGGAAGCCTAAATGAACCCAGTGCTGCTTGTGTCTAAATCGGCTTTTTCAGTGCTGCCCTGTGTCACATAAGCATTTGCTTAGTCTCAAAATGCAAATATCTCACTGATTGTGCTGAAAGTAGAGAATTTACATCTTCTGGAAAGAGGGGATCATTTTCTGTAATGTCTTCTGTCATTCAGTAACTATAACAAAAAGTTTATGAAGATGAATATACTTGTCTTCAGTTGGATAAATCATTTCTGTATCTATTACTCAAAGTCCCATCTGTTTAATTTATTGAAATAAGTTTCATTTTATGAGCACCAAAAGGCTACATCTTCTATTAGATGTATACTTATGTTCTGATATTGTAGCAATTGCTGGTCATTCTGTCATTCTGAGCACTTTGATGTCAAGTTGCTCTTTCTCAACATGTGCTTTGCTTGCCATATATCAAAGGGTAGCCAGAGTATAACAGGGAGACTGATGGGAAAAATAGAAAAGCCTACAAATATTCATAGGAATTGTGATTAAACGAGCTAATGAGCAACAATGTTGTCATTGACCCTTATGCTGTCAGATACCTTCAGTCCGTGGATGCAAGATAGGTGTTAATCACATCTATCATATGTATACATACTGATATGTACTTTGTTCAACGTGTCCAGTAACAGGCTTGTTTTTACTGAACTTTGATGCAGGTTACTGTATGGTATTGATGTGAAATAGAAAATGCTTGTGCGTCTAACCTTGTGGTAGGAACAGCTTTGAGAAAAAAACTGTTTCTTTATGGAATAATTTCATCCCTATCCATTTGATAAATGTTGCGTTTTGCTCTGTAAATCATACTACAGAAGTTAAATTTACATGTTGCTATAGCTTTGGTTTTGACCTTGTTTATACAATAAGCAGACTTGTTTAAAATGAAGAGATTTTCATTTTGCTTCTATGTCCAGTGCAAGACAAAGGTGGCCTCCTGTGAAGGTGAGCAGGTTGATTCAAGTTCTAGATTGAGCTGTGCTTGGCATAAAAAATCCTTCTACTCTTTATATCAACTGGATAAAGCTCAGGATTACGGAACTGTGTTGTGGTTGTCACCATGTTGCACCTGGTTTATTGAGGAAGGAGTGCTGAGCAGGAAGTGCTGAATGGTGAAGGGACTGGTTTTTGGCAACTGTATAACCAGTGTTGGTGTTTCACTTCTCTAAGTAGGAGGTGAATAAATATTTTGAGTCAGAATAATTAAGGTGAAATGTTTTATTTAAAGCTCAGTTTTCTTGTATTCTGATGCTCTTTTTCCCCTTGAGATTATGAATTAAATATTTGAGGGAGGGCTCACTCTCCCCTTTGTTTCCCCCTTTCTTTTGTATTAATTATTAATTTTTGTGGAACATGTTGACAATATGGCACAGCTCCTACTACTCTCAGCTGCATTTAAGCTTTGTCTCCACTGCTGAGTGTAGTCAGCAATAGTCTGTTCTTGACTTGGGTAATGGTTATGAGTTACTGGAACATTTCTGTACCAGCTCACTCATGCTGACACTGCTTGTCCTTCATGAGGAGCTGCATTGATGTGTAAGCAGAGCACATCACAAGGAATTCCTCCCAGGCCTTGCAATACTTTTCAGTATAGCATGCTCTGGAAGGTGAGAGAGAGACAGCCCTGTGCCTGGCACCAGGGTCGCAGTTGTTTTCTTTTTTGCTGCCCTCACTCTTCCTTGTTCTGTTGCATGCAAGAGGTGCTCAATTGGTCTGGGTATGTTTGGATCTGAAACAGTTGCTCTTTGTGCAGGGAAGGCCCCATGCTGAATGAAAGCTGCCTTCTGGGCAAATCCCCTGGGGTAGCTGTAAACAGCACCACTATTTTTAAGACAAAGTCAGCAAAAGCAGCAGGATTTAGTCTTGTATACATTTTCCTATAGCTTTATGAGTTATCCGGAAACATTTCTGAATGCCACTGTCCAGTTAACCTGATGAGTTTCGCTCTTATTTTAGTCCCAAACCGATGTTGCTTTAAGCAATAGAACTATTGTCAGCACTGGAGGTCTAGTAGCCAGAGGTTATGCGTTATGGATAAAACTTACTGAAGACCTGAAAGAATGGGCTGTTTACGAATCTTGAGGCTCACATGAGGCTAATGAAATTATGTTGCTTCTCCTCAAGTGGGAATTGAAGAGCCACCAATTCATTAGAGTTCAAATCAATTTGAGCAAATATGCTTTGAGATTCAGCTCTGGAAGTAAAATGTGGTTCATTAGCTGTGAATCATTTGTACAGTGTTCTTGCTTCTAGGGATATTTATCATCAGAATGCAATAAAAGTTCTATTTTAGGAGAGGATGAGATTTTAATTTACATGGAAAGCTTCCTTGATGAATAAAACAACTCTCTCTCTCAATTAAAAAAATCCTGTTTCCTTTAGAAGAACATCTTAAAAATGCCTCAGTCTGACCTGTATTTTTATACTTTGAGTGAGTACAACATAGGTACTGCTTAATGCAGATGGAAATTCTGCACATGCTAACGTAAACTTTTGACAGAGTGATTGTGATTTTGGATGTAACTCTCTGTTTCTGTACTGACAATCACAAGCACAAAATAAGAGGTTGTTTTTAAAAAGACGTTCAATCTCCAGTTCGGTAAGCAGACATCCATAGAAAATATCCGTCATGCATGTCATTATGCACAGAGTAACAACAGTTTGTCATGTCAGCAAGAACTTCAATAGCATAGTTTATTTCCCATTTTGGTAACCTTTCAGCTGAATATAACAGAATTGTTCTGTGTTTATAATCATACATAGAAAGTAAATATATGTGATAGAAAAGGGCTCTTCAACTTAGCATTAAGCAGGTAGTCATACCTGAAAGCAGGAACTAAACTAATTCAGTCTAAAAATGACGTGGATTTTTTTTTTTTTTACTAGTCAGGAGCAACTTCTCTGGGAATGCAAAGAATTCATTGTCACCTGAAGTCTTTAAATCAACTTAAGAAAAAAAAAATGCCCTCACTCAACCAGAAGACATTAGCTTGATGCAGTAATCATTAGCTGCAATTCTGTAACTTGTATTATTCAGGTAGTCAGACTACTTCATCATGATGGTTTCTTAACTCCAAAATGCATCAATCTGTGTGTTTCAGTATGACTTCAAGTTAAATAATGAAAGAAGTAATAAAGTGAAATACACAAAGGACCAATTTACTTCACAGCTTTGTAAACCTCAGAGCTAGAGTATTTTTTTACATTGTGGCACATAATAGATGTAGTAATAAATCAGGTAAACTTTCTGAGGTGTGCAAGTGTAAAAATATTAACTAGCTCCTGGGCCTTCTTGAGACAGGTTCTCAATTATTCCTTGGAAATAATGCAGACTTGTTCTCCTAATGTCTTGTAGAGTAGCATTGCTATAGTATTGCTATGTTTTGGGCATACAAATCTCTGTGCTTGTCTCTTCCTGTTTCAGATGCTTTGTATGATGTAATCACCGTGGGAGCCCCAGCAGCACATTTCCAGGGATTTAAGAATGGTGGTCTCCGAAAACTGCTGAGTAAATTTGAGGCAGAAAGGCGAAAGTAAGTATTTCTGTAATAGGTAGGAAAAGATCATTAAAGCTGCATTGTAATAGTAGGACCTCATTGAGTTACAGAACAGTTTCCCCCTGCTGGATGCATGGAAGATGAAAATCTAGTATGACTGGACAATGATTCATTCATAAAGTAACTTCTTTATCTTCCCTGTTTTGCTAGATGGCAAAATTGAAGCACAATTTACTTGGCATTACAAGATTTATTTTGGACACAAACACACAATTGTGAAATTTTCTTCCCATATTTCAGGAAGCCTGAGGAGTACCTATACTTGAAAACATGCTCCTCAGAATGAGTAATCTCTTCTGTAACGCTTGCAACCAAGTAGGAAGCAGCTATAGACAACTTTTCAATAAAAAAAAAACACAATGGTTTCCAGTAGCATTTTCATTTTTGACAGCCCTGGGCACGTCTGCAAAAAAATCTTTCCAGCCTGACAAGCTGTCAGTGCACCCATAGCTGTGACTATGTTGTGACTGCTCTGCACTTGGACAACCTGTGCCACACTGTGCAATTAATGGTACAGCATTTGAGAGGAGGTACATGTGTATGCTAATCTAAATCAATTTCTTCATGGAAAATTAATTTAATTTGATTCGTATTTGGCATTCCAAAATATATAATAGATACCATATCATAAGGAATGAAAAGATGATAAATTATAAAAATCTACTGTTAACTACTTTGAATTTGGCTAGAAGCAAAGTTGACTACAAGTTGGCATTAGTGTTTAAAAAACAAAAACAACAGCAGATGCATTTGCTATGAAAACTGTGTTTTTTAATTTCATTTTTCTGTTTTGTACTGCATGGGCATAAAAACCTTATTCTGTGGCCACTTCTGGTGAAAAAACTTGCCAATGAAATATAAATACTGTTTATCATTAGAGACCTGTGGATGGACTTCGTGTTGACAGTAGGTACCTAATCTCCTGCCAGCAGACTGGTGCAGGCAGCCTTATTACCATGAACAGGAGGCCTATAAATTTCCTGCTTCCTTAAGAAGAAAATGTCTAAAGACATTTCATAAAGTATCTGTTGTCAGTGTTTCAAAATAATCTCCAAATCTGTGTTCATCTGATGCGTTAAATACAAACATCATATTTAAGTACTATTTCAACTATTTTAATAATATGGATAAGGACACACTCTTTATTATCTTTCATTAAAAGAAATTTAAGTTCTAAGTAACATGAAGAATTCTGCAGTTCTAGCCCTCAAAATATTCAGCTTTCAGAAAATGAGCTGTCTCTCACTTGCATTGTCTTGGAACTTATCCACACTGACAGAATATGATTTCCCAAACTGGAGGATAGCTGCAAGGTAAACTTGAAATGATTATCTGTGATTTATGTTAATTGGAGGAAAAAAAGGGAAAATGCCTCGTAGCAAAGAGTCATAGTCTTTATTGAGGTCTTTCTTGAAAAGACCTGCAGCATCTCTTAGGAATGAATAGCCGATGCCCTTGTTTCATAGTCGCCTGTAACAGGGGAGAAGAACATTGGCTAGACCTTTGGGTCCTGTGCAGTGTTAAGTGTCAAAAGGCTAGGATGGCAATGGATACTCATTGCAGCACAGCCTCTCCTCGTTTATATTCATTCATCTTGATTTCACTGACCTAAACTATACAGCCCTCTGAGTTCACAGAGGATTGTGATCAGGAGCAGGTTCTATTAAAGTATTTCATACCTATTTCAGAGTGCCTACACGTCCTCATATATTTTCCCTGCTTCTGAGATATTTCTGCATCTCTCAGAAGCACCTCTAGATTGGTGACTTTTGAGGACATCGAACTGGACCATATTCTGGCAGTCCAGTTTTCTTTGTTTCTCTCTTCACCTGGAAGAGTGGAAGTCTGTCTCTAGGACTAGCAAGAGTCCCTATGTTGCTATCCTTTCAGACTATTCCTAGGAAAAACAAAAAAGCTGGAGTCAGGATAACAAACTTAAATTTGAGCGCTGACAATAGGGAACTGCAGTTTTTCGTGAATCACTTACTACTCCTTCAAGATTTCTCAGTGTATGAATTCCACGAAGCAGAAAGAAGGGAACCTCCAAAAGTCGTCATCTCTTCTGTTGCTGAGAAGAGCTCCAAGGAAACTCCACACTTTTTTTTTTTTTTGTGTTCAGTTGGAAGGACTTGGGTGGGTCAAAAGATAGGAGAAAGCATGCTCTGAATATGATCTCAGTTACTTGAAAATTCAGGAGTGGAAGTGCTTTAAATAGATGCTTGAAAAGGCTGTTCTCATTCTTACCATGGAGAAATTTCTTTCACTATGGCAATGACAACTTTATTTTGTATGCACCTGTTTATTTAACTGCATGAGGATGCTTTGAGGACACTTGGCATTTCTGAGGGCAGCTTTTACAATTTAAATTTTCTGTTTTACAACTGCAGCAGCTTTTCTGAAGCTTTGGTTGAAGGAAGAAATGACACCTTGAGATATCAGTCAGAATATGAAATGAGCAGGAAAAAAAATGCAGATTTAGCTGCCGTTTCCTCTGGGCTAACTGAGCTAAAGACCTGGAGAAAGATGTGGGAAGAGATTATTTCTCAATCTAGTCCCGGTAGCTTTCAAGACATCATTGTTGATGCATATGACAGAATGTCTTGCATGCATTTGACCTTCAGGCTGATTAGTAGAACAGTTTACTGAAATATTCGACAGTGTCAGCATATCGCAAAATATTCCTTGCTCAAACCTGTGCTTGTGGAATTAACAGACAAGAGGAAGTGTTAACTGTTAGCAAGGTTATATCTCACTTTGCAAGATGTAATTGCATTTGCAGTTGCCAAACCAAAACCACAATGAAACATATGTGTCATGGAAGTTTATCAGAGGAATGTGTAATAAGTGTATCTGTTTGAAGATGTGTGGCATATTTTCTATTACATGGAATGTAGATGTTTGTACAGACCAAAGAGGGGAAGTTTTAAGAAATATTTATTAACAACACAGTATTTTTATGTAACTTTCTTTTGCTTGTCCCCAAGCAAGTAATACTAAAAAAATAAAAATCAATTGAAAAACATGGTCTTGAATAAGAGATGCAAAAAGTTAGCCATATATGGCTAACTTAGCCATATATGATCTGAAGTGAGGCACACTGCTTTACAACCCATTTATAATCTTTACAGTTCTTTATCTGCAGAAAAGTGGCAAATAAACTGCCTCAGCACTACAAACATCAAGCATGTCTGTAAGGTATGACTGTGTTGCTCTTGTCCCTGTAGTAGCTAGCAGTGAACTTCACAAGAACTTCATAAGTAAGAGAAAAGATGCTTTTCTTAATTGTTTAGGCATGGCACCACTTAAATAACTGAAATGTGCTGATTGAAGTATGTCAAACCATTGCAGTATAATGCAATTAATTATCTGTGTATGAAATGTATTTATTCTGTTTTTTTCTTTTTTCTTTTTTTTTTTTTTCATGATATGATATTGGTTCTTATTACTTATTTTCTTCCTTATTTGTATCTAAAGGAGAAAGTTGTTCAGATTTAGTCTTCTCTTGGCCTGCCAGTATAGATTACTTCTCCATCCAGGAAATGAAAGGGCTCGTCTTCTCATCAATCTAGATGGCACAGCAAATCTTTATTTGTAGAGTTTAGTTGTGCAGGCAGGCATTCTGTAAGTTATACTCATATTATGTCTCACTGTTTTAAGTGTTCATAAATCACTTTCAAGTTACTCTAAGAGTTTTATTTTCTTAAACTTTGTAATTATAAACATTTTAATGCCCAAGTACTAGTCATCAGGAAAAACAGAGGTGTCCCAGAAGCTGCACTAGCTTTTGTGATTCACTAATTTTTTTTTATACCATTTCTAGCAGGTTCTTTAAAAATCAGGTTCTTGAAAAAGAATCCTGCTTTAAATTAGAGCAAACTTAAAGCTAAGAGTACTGGAAGGTTGATTTTTTCGTTTGTTTGTTTGTTGGGGGTACCATCATTATTTGATTTGAGAATGAATTCTCTGAAAGGCCCCTTTTTTGTTTAATAAGGCCTAGATCTTTGGTCAAGGTGTGAGGTATGCTTCTTCATTAGCATAGTTATTAACAGAGGTTTTATTAAAAGTGAGATCTTCAGGGTTCCTACACCTGATTTTTATAACCTTCACCCATTTCTATTCTGTGAGGAATCTGAAATGGTGCTGTTTCACAGGAAAGCATAGACATGTTGAAACAATAATGATTTGTGTTTGATCTAATTGGAACCTTAATTCTGCAGGGCGATCACAGACTGTTATGCACAGTACTTTTCACATAGACGTCCTTTGCTCACTTTCTCTCTTTTCACATATGCATGTATGTCAATAATTATATATAAATGTATGAGAGAGAGACAGACTTCATGGAAATGAATGTTTTTTGACAGACCATAAAATCAATGTTTATGGTTGTTGGAAGTTTTACAGAGAAACTGCCACAGTTTGTGTGCTATTCATTGATATAAAAATCTCATCACAGTATTTTCCAGCCACTCGGCTCTCTAGACAAAATTGCCTGAAGCTTTTCCTTAAACAAGCCTGAAAGAAAGGTTACCGGGACTGGCAAAGAAACGGAAGAAGGGGTTTAGAGGTGCTTCACATACAAAGATTAGAAAGGATTGTTCTTTGGAGAGCAAGAAACTATTTATTTCTTCTTTGTGGGCTGCAGGAGTGATGAGAAGTCAATCCATGATTTTGCCAACCTTTCTCTGTGTAATGAAAGAGGAGGGCAGCACTTCCACTTTTTAAACAATATAGTTAAAAAAAAAAAACAAAACATTGGAAAATCTGCTCTCTCCTATTTTCAAAATCTCAGCCCTGATCACATAGCTTGGTTTTATTTCCTGATATGGTGAATTGTCCTGTATTTTATGTAATCAGTTGAGTTTTGATCAAAACTTTCCACTTCATAAAGGATACATCAGATCCTTCAAAAACAAGACACTGTGCTGGTAGTTTCAGTAATATACAAAAGCTCAAGATTACCTGAGAGGGGGTTTTTGTTTTATGTTTCTTAACTGTATTCTGGATATTGATGTCTGTAGTTTTTACTGTGAAAAATGTAAGGTCAAATGTTCATTGTTAAAAAGATTTTAACCCGGTCCCAGATGGTGACAATTTAACTCAGCCACACAAATGACTTAGTTAACAGCAGGAGTAGAGTTACTCTGAGTGTCATTAAAAAATTAGATGTTTAGCATATTGCAGTATTTATTCTCAGGCAAAAACTTTGTTAAAGTTAAAATTGCAGATTTAGTCAATATAGTCTTTATCCAATTACATAATATTGTTATTAAAGCAGTTCTAAAGCCTAAATGACTACTGACACTCACGTGGATGTAGTTAATGGTGGTGCCAAGATGCAAAAGTCATTTTCTATGCGAAGTGAAACCTCTGAAACTTAAACCAGAAGACATTATTATAGACTTTCAAGAGATACATAATCAATAATATATTCTATTTATCAAGGGTAGTTTTTCATAGTGTTGCTGATTTCCTGCACTGGGCCTACCCATGTGGTCTTTTACCGAATGCAGAAGTTTTCTTCTTACCTGTTATTCCTTTCATCTAGTTTCTACATCAGAACACCTGTAGAAAGTTTCTCTGTATTCTGTGCATCTTCTGTGGGCAGCAGCTTCTTTAAAGCAGTATTACTGATGTGCATTAAATATATGTAGCAGCAAGTTCTAATAGTACTTATTTATAAGGAGGCTCATTTCAGTGAATTGGAAGCATAAATGCCTTTTCATGAATGGTAAGCAACAGAAAATTTCAGACTAATCTTAGATGCAACAGTGTCGGGACACATCAATTATAAAACACCAGATATCCCCCCAGGCATGTTGTATCTGAAAAACAATAGCTCACTTCCTTTGGATTTGTACTGAAGAAACTGAATTTTGGGGTTGTTTTTGTGTTTTCTGGGGTTTGAGGGAAAGGTTAATCATGAGGCTTGATAGGAAATCTCCTTCTAAAGAAAGAGTTATTATCTCTTCACAATTTCTTTTATTTAAAAGCTATGACTTACTTTAATAGAATGAGAACTACCCACAGGGTTAGCATCTCTGTCTGTCTTATAGCATTGTCTGTAGCTTTTCTGCTGCAATACTCACTGAAGCTTAGAGTTGGGAGATCAGTGAAAAAGATCTGGGAATTAAGGGCTGAGGGAAATCCCAGAATGGAGTATGTGCATGGTGAGCTTGATAACAGTGTTAGCCAAATTCAGCCTGCAAAAAGGCTGTTTGATAAAGGAAGGAAGAAGACTGAAGGGGAATTAGAGATTATTCAGTGCTAAGACTGTCTTTGCTACAATTAACATAGACTGTTAATCTTTGTCTGTGCCCTCTCTACTGAGTCTGTCAGCTTGAGAGTTGCAGTAGATGTAGCAATGGATCTAATTTGACTGACAGTGTTGCCACCTTGAAGGCAGAGCTGTGACCATTTCCTCATTTCTTAGAGGGGCAAGATTTTTTATTTTTTTTTTCTCACAATTCATTAGGAGAGATGGTTTCAACAATTCGTTCTGTTGAAATATTCAGAATTCTGCCCTCTGCACTCAGTAGCCAGTACCTCATTTAGTGGGCTGTGAATTGGAGACATTGTAATTTTGGTGTGGTTGACAGCATGGCAATGCCTCACTGACTCTGTCATTCATCCTGACCACTTCTACAAAGAATTATATCTAAAAACGGAGGCATTAGTGAAAGAAAATTAGGATGGGATATCGTGTGATTTGGGACAGTAACTCTGCCAAGTACCTAAGCAAGATGCTTAACTTTAAGACTGCTTCAATCTCTTCTTATTTGCAAAAAGATTTAAGCCTTTTAGATTTTGTGGGAGTGACTTCATTTGGACTTCTGAATGTGTGTATGTCTTACATCCAATTAAATTTAATTTCTTATTTGTAGAAAGCTAATGAGTGGGAACTGGAAGAGATAATAAAGAGGAAATGGGAGTGAAAAGATCTGAAAAAAAAAGACTAAAATGAAAAGCAACTATCATTGAAGTTCAAAGAACTGCCTGAGTGTCAAAATTCAGGTCTTGATCTTCAAGTTAAGATATAAAGCTGGGAGGAAGAAGGGCAGAAGAGAGGCAAGGATGAATGAAGTAAAGACACAAGCGAAAAGAGGAGATGGATACAGGGGCAGCTGGCGAGTGTGTGCAATGCTCTGTCATTGTTGATGTTCTAGGAGCTGCTTGGTGACAACTAAATATGTATTAATAATTACGTGAGGTAGCCAACTGGGCACTTCATGTACAGGCCTCTAGAACTGCCTGGTAATTGTTTTTTATCCCAGAAGACTTTAGGTCATGTCATACCTGTTCCTTGAGCTCTCCATTGAGTGGTTAATCAAGTGAAAGCTGTTGAAAACATGCATAAACTTCATGCTGTGCACAGGGTACAGAGGAGTAAAATAGACTGGGCACCCATGCTTTGTATGCTGCCCTCTTTTTTTTCTTCCTGTGTTATTGTTACAAGTTAGTCTGAATCTGCAAAACACTTTGGTTTCTCTGAAGGACTGCAGCAGGGCTTTATAAAAGGAAGGATTGTGTGCAGGAGTTCTAAGTGGGAATGTGTATGGTACAGCAAAATACTGGTAAGACTCCACAGTGCTTAAAAATTGTATTTTGGAATAATGGTATAAAAGGATATTGTATCATTAGTAAGTGTTGGGGAAGAGGGGATAAGTTTTCAGAAGGAAAACAAATCATGCAAATAAAGTGCAGTAGTTTGTAAACAGGTAAAATTAGCAGTATGTGCTTGTGTATTTTTGTAGTAATTAACTTCGTATTTCCCTTTGATCCAACATTTCTGTGTCTATTCTTGCAAACTAGATGCATTGCCAAATAGACACATGGCTTTTCTTAGGAATAACTTTACTGGAAATAATGTAGTTGTTAATATGAAAGGGGAATTGAGATGGAAAAGTAAAGGCACCTTTTGCTCTTTGTGATCATTATCTGACCTGGTCAAACCTTTATTTTCTCCAGAATCACCTTTAAAAAAAATAAATAAGGAAAATAGATTTTGGTTTATTTTAGTCAAAACTAGGTTGAACAGTACTATCTGGATGTTTGGTGGTGGGCAGTCCATTTTCCTCTAATGTTCAGATAAGGACTTGTTTTTACCCTTAAAGGAAGGAGCATTTCTATCATATCAGTCAAGTTTGGGTATCTGTCATTCTTACAACATTAACATTAATATTTTTAGCACATTAAGCATGGTTAGTAATAGCAGAAATCATTTTGACATTGTCTCTTCCTGTGTTGTTACAGTACTGGATACCAGTGTATTTACTATTCACCTGAAAACACAGCCAAGGCAAAAGAAGTTCTCAGCAACATCAATCATCTACAACCTCTCATATCAAGCCATGCAGACCTGCTGCTTAATTCTGCAAGCCAGCATTCTCCAGACAGCTTGAAGAACTCTTTAAAGATGCTTTCAGAAAAAGTAAGATTCAAATCTTCATTGCAATGGGAAGTGGAATAACCAAGTCTCTAGCTGCTGTTTTTTTTTGTTTTTTTTTTTTTTTCCTGCATAAGTTGCTTTTCATAGCATCAAGAAATGTTATATAAGCTCTGTTAAAATAAGCTTCAAAATGTTGCCATCAGAAAAATAATAATTTTTTTTTTTGCATTTCTGTAGGCTTTCCATGTAGAAAATTAATGAAATTTATAAGGGTTGTCTTTATTTGAAAGTATAATTAACTTAATTTCATATGTCTTTGTTATCCTCTAGTGGCCACATACTGAGGTTTTTCAAAAATAGGTTATTGTAAGTAAATTGAAGGATATGTGGAAGGATAAACTATTATTTCTCTTTCTGTGATACTTCAAACTATTGCCTATGGGAGGTAGCTCAAGCCAGTGCTTAAGGTTTAGAATAATAGCATGACCAGAAATGGTGATGCAGTTTGGAAGGATAAGTTGGAACCAGGAGGTCTCAAATTTTAATCCTCTTTCTTCTATTATTTCCTTTTGTAGCTGTAGGCACCTCCTCATCTTAGTTTCTTTAGCTCTAAATTAAGGAAGATAATATTTTTCCACCTGTCTCTCAGAGTGATTTTGGAGATTAGCTGAAGTCTGTGAAGTACTTTTAAGCATATGTTATCCTGTGAAAATATTAAGCACTATAGCTATAGCCAGAGGGGTTTAAAAAGTTTCCCATCGCTTCATGGGCCATACCTTCTGTAACGTGATCTCTCAATATGACTTAATACACTATCAGTAATCATTTCAATATATCTTCAGCTATTGGAAGTTGCAACCCCTATGGTCTGTTGAGCACTATTATCCCAGCAGTACATCATTCAATGTGAGAGTTTCAAATCTCAATACTGAGCTCAGTCACATACTGTGAAGGCATTACGCTGGAGCCACGGGGGGAGACAAATGTTGCTCTCGGTTAAAGACGTGTAAATCCACAGTAACTTTAGAAACAGTCGAGTAGCTGCAAATGTAAGGGATATATAGGAAAGCAGAATTCAGCCTGGAGACAAAAGATAGGAATATAGTTTCATTTTGTGGCAATTGTAGCCGACCTTTCCATGTAGTACTGAAGGAGACCTTTTTTAGCTGCTCATAGAAAAAATACAGCTGCTCTATTAGGAGTTAGTTGAAAGAAAAATGTTTGTGCAGGTATATTCCCATGTTTAGTCTGAGAAGAGGACAAGTGAAAATGGGGTTGGGATAATTCCTGAGGAAGCTGGTATAGAAGGACAGCTGCTTATAAAGAAGGAATGAGAGCTGGGGACGAAAGGAAAGACCAAGGAACGACTTCAGGGAAGCACAAGGCTAAGCTTCAAAAACTCCCATTAACTAAACCCACTTGGTGCTACAACTAGATCCCTTATGGTTAACACAAAGCAATATCTCAATATAGTAAGATAAGCTATCCATCTATATCATCTGGTAGAGTATGAGAGACTGGGGCTTAGAAGAGTGTCCCTGATAATTAAGATAGCTTGGCATACTTTTCTGGTTAGAATTACGTGATGCCTACCTGTGTTTTTGAGGCACATTAGATGCTGTCGCTCTCCCACCTTTTGTGTACCTTTTACCTGTAAGAAAGAAATGTTCTGTGACTTAACTTGATACACATTGAGAAATTAAACAGATGTTTGAAGAAATTGGGAAAAACAGTTTGGCTGGTGATTAAATTTCTTGAGTTCATTTAAAAGCATATTGTTTTTAACCTTAAGATGATATTAAAATTCATATAGAGAATGATTCTTTCTAAAACAGTAGGTAGCAGTAAATAAATCTGAGCTATGAAAAATGTGAATTACAGTTAGGGATTTTTGTTGCAAATGGAGGGACTGGTGGCTGCACATGTTGGAAGTGAAAATTAAATGATTCCACTGCTGCTTATTTTCTTATATTGAGCTTATTTTCTCATATTAAGCATGGTTTTACTTCTCTGTATATGATTTGCAATTTACTGTACAGTTTTCCTGAGACTAATCTTTTATCAACATTTTCTGCTAATTGATTAAAGAAGCCTTTAGCTGTCGACAAGTATATCAGCGTTTGCAGCTTGCAGAAGGCTTGATAAATTCATTTTCCAGTTATGCCTATCTTTATTTGCAGAAATACTCTTTAGTCAAGTATCCAAAGGAACTTGCAAAGTTTGCATTTCTTTGTATATACTTGTTTTGTGCCTTCTATAAGATTTTATAAATAGTGATGTTCTGCAAATTTAGCTGTAAGAAACTGTAGTTAAATGTAGATTGTTGTTAAACCAATGGAATCCTTGAATGGAATTTAATTACAGAAGAATTTTAGTCTCTCTGTGAAAAAACAGTGATTCACTTCCATGCCAACTTGCTTTTTTTAAAAATACATTTTCCATATAACATATTTACATTGAAATTAAATTCAATAAACTTTTCAGATAGTTACTTAATATACATCTCAGTCATAGTGAACTTTTCTGACTTTAAATTGTCCAATACTTTTAAAACTCAAAGCTTTTTTTTTTTTGAATTTACCATTCCTCATGTGGAGACCAGATATGATCTCAAGCAGATCTTGAGGGGGAAGAGAGGTACCTCAAACCTCAGCAAAACCATGGTATTGCCATCTGTAAGGACAGATAAATAGTTTGGGCTATTTTAATAGGAATTGCAGAACAGCCTTGAAGAGCTCTGCTGTTATTACGAGTGACAAGACAGCTGTGCAAGTCAAAATTTGTCTTGTCTTTATAGGAAATTTTGATAGGGTTTGGTGGCAATATTACCCAAAGACTGTTTTCTGAGCATGTACCATGTAGAGGCTGGAAATGTAGAAAACTGAAACAGTCTTATAGTGCAGCTCAGGACTGCAGTGAGGCAGTCCTGAAGGGCTACAAATAAGAAAATTGTCTCTAAGTACCCTTTCTCTTGGGTGCTAAGTTAGTAAGAAGGTGGCAGAATGGGTCTGATAAAATTGCCAGAGAGTTAAGCAGTGTTTCTCAAGCCCAATCAATAAAGAATCCCAAATCAGGTCCAAAAGAAGTCTTAATTAAAATAATAATAATAATGACTTAGCTGAGATATTCCTATGGTTGTTTTTTTTTGAGCCTTTATGTTTTATGTGTAGTAAATTCTCAGGCTTTCTCTTTGCAGCCTTTAAGGATCAAAATAGTTTTGTTTCTTTTTTTTTTTCCCCAAAACATTATTAAACCTGTAAAGAGCAGACACTTCTCATGCAGGTTCCCAACCTCAGCAGCTGGGTCTTAAAGGAAAACCACGATTCTTTGGAGCATTGTGGTCTAAATGTCAGCTTTTGAGGTGGTATGGAGGGAAGAAACCTTGGAAAGAAATAAGTTGAGCATGAGTGAAGGCTTATAAAAGTGAAGCAAGTACTAGCAAAAAGCTAAGAACAGAAGGAAGGAGTGCAGAAACTGGGAAAAAGATTTCCAGGAAGCTAGAGGCTGATACTTAGAACTTGATGGGTTTTATTATGGTATGAAAGGAATAAGAAAGTGTTTCATCGACCTGTGAACCAGGGTATATGACCATGGAGAGGAGCTAGAGCAGTGTGGGTGGGCTGTGGTGTATTGACGGGGTGTATGCTCTCCCATCTCTGACAGATGAACCCCGATGAGCGTTGCTGTGAAATAACCAAAACTGTGACTCTCCCTGGCTATCTGTCTCTGCTACTTTGCTAGTGGTTGCTGCCATGTAGTGAAAAGGGACATGTGCTTGTGCCTCATCCTCTGCCACTCAGCTGTTCTTGTCGGCTGATGAAGCGAACCAGCCAGCAGAGATAGGGCCCCATGTTGTGTGTGACGGGTGTGCATGGCACATGGGTGACAAGAGCAAGTATGGAGAACCAGAGCTCTTCGAAAGGTAGTGCTTGAAGGATATAATAGCCCCAAATAAAATAAAGAGTCAGGAAGAACAATCTACCAGGTTAGAAAAAGTTGACAGAGCACATCTAGTGGCTTGTAAGGATAAGGTCCGTTTCGTGCTTTCCTGCATGCCTTCCTTATACTGAGGATTGGGATGTATACCTTGGGAAGTCAGGATTTCCTGTGCCCATTGAAGCAAGTCTAATTATGGAGCACTGGCATACTGTTACAAACATGATCTACAGTCCTCAGTTAATTTTTAATCTTTTTTCTAATCTTTTTCTTATGGGGGCTCCAAAAGCCTTTTGCACTGAGATACGGTGGAATAATAAAATGCTAATTTATATTCTCATCCCTGAATTCATTTGTTTGCAGCATCATGCTTCATATTGTGACTTGACTGTAACTTGAGAATGACTGAAAATATCAGTGGAGAAGTTCATGCAGTTATTTAGAGACAGAGGCTGGAGGTGCTAAAGACCATATGCAGAAAGCAGGGACATGAACATTTTTGCTTTTCTTCTTATGGTAGAAGTAAATAATGCAGGGAGATGGGAGGTTTTTAAAAATCAGGTGATCTTCCATCTGTCACAGTCAACAAGAACTTAAAAATGGTAGTGATGGATTGAGTAAAATCCTCAGAGAGCCTGGAAAAATTATTCCAAGGGTTCCGTTCTTAAAAAATAAATGAATTAAAGGTGGAAATTTTAGGTACAGGATGGTACCTACAAGTACCACAGCTTATACCTGGAACACTGCTTTTGCAGATACTTCAGTTTTGTCAGTGTAGTGTGGAGTGTTTTTATTCAAGGAGATTCTTATATTTGTTAATGATGTTTTTTTTTCTAACACTTGGATATGATTAAGCAGTGGTTGGGTGCTCTTGGAACTGGTCCTTATAGAGTCTTGTCTCTGCAGGCACAATTTAGAGCTCAAATAAAAGGGGATTGTGTGAAAAGGTGATGATCTCTGACAGGTACGGTTCTTTTGTGTTAATCTGTACAACAATGGGATTGTAGAATGCGATGATGTCCCCAAAACTCTTGAATTGTTCCTTACTGTTTGCTGGTTTACTTCTTTTTCTGCCCCTTAGGCTGACCTGAAACACAAACATCCCTGCCTCTAAGGGTAATTCAGTGTAGTAATAGTTTTGCTGTTCTATTACATTCTTTGACCTAACCTTGCATTCAGTGTGTGTGTGTGTTTTTTCTCTAGACAGAGTTATTTGTGCACGCGTTTAAGGATCAGCTGGTCAGAAGTGCCCTTTTAGCACTATACACAGCCCGACCCGGCTGTGTCCTCAAGAAACCAGCTGTGCCTAGAAGCAGTGCAGAAGAGAGCGATGACCTAAAGCATCAGGATCATCCTTCTCAGATTAAAAGACAGGACTCTATACCCCATCATTCTGAGTATGATGAAGAAGAGTGGGTAAGTAGTCAGAAAACTCTTGGTTGGCATTGAATCCTGAAACCTAAAAACCAACATAAACAAATGCAAGCTCTACCATCCTTGTCACATTTTGTTGGGGAAAAAATGAGCTCAAAACCTTTAAATAGCATTTTTCAGGTATATCTTGAGTTATGGGAACTTCAAATATATACACCTTCCTGAAACTAACTTGAAAAGCTTTCCTTAATACTGTGTGCTTCTGCGCAGTGTATAACAGTGAGGATGATGAGAATCTTCTTGCCCACGCAGGAAAGTAGTTGTACTTTACTATTATTTGAGTTGGTTTTGCTGGCTAGGCAGACTTAAGGAGATTGAAAAGACATATACTGATTTGTTGTTGTTCTTGTTTTTTTCCCCCCCCAAAAAACAGTAGTTTAAACATGCATGAAACAACTGTTTTCCCTTAGACCGTTTTCTTAGAGGATATCTGCGATTACATAACAGAATGAAATATGGCTTTTAGATTTGAACATTCTTAGCATATTTTACAAAGATACTGTATTACTTGTGGCTAAGCTTTTTGTAAATTAATTGTTTTGGTGGATGTGTTGATTGTAGGTCTGCTTCTGTTATATATACACCCTGTTTTTATTCAAGGTATTTTTATTCAGTTTAGGTTCATACGCTTCACTGTATGATCATAAAAGTAAAGGATTCTAGCATATTAATCCATATTGTAAATAATTAATATCTTTGAGCTGCAGTACCTACACCTGAACTGTAATTTTTATCCATACCGTAAAATAAGGGAGCAAGAATATATTTCTTCCAGAGAAAAGAATTATCTTTAAGCCCAAGCATTAAGAAGTCATGAAATTTAAACAATAAATAATTAACTCTTTCTTTTATTTGTCTTCTAGCTTTAGAGTCTTGAATCACTTTTTTGTGTTTTCTCTTGAACCTGAGGGTCTAGAGCATTCCTTCTTTCCTTAAAATGATAGCCAAATTGTTTCATTCTAGCTACTGAGACACTCAGAAAAATAAATATCGCAATAGATTTGACAGACGGGAGAATTAGCATTTTTGTGCAAGTTGTATTTTCATTTAGTACTTCCGTCATTGCAGAGCAGCTAGCTTTACTCTATTTCATTGGTTTCTTATTGATTTTTTTTTCTGCCAGATGTTTGCCCCTAATACTACCATACAGAAATGCATCAGTCTGTAGTGATGAATTGATGAATTAGTAAGATTACCTGCTTGGTTAAAATTAAGTGTATCTTTTCTCTGTTTTTTTCTGAGTTAATAAACTGAGTCTGAGTCAGTGTCAAACTTGAGACAATATAAATCTTGGAGAATTTTTTTTTATTCTAAATTTGAATCATTAGGCTTCCACTGATTTTCAGTTCTTTCTGACAATGGACGTAATGGATAATGTGAGTTTTAATGATCAAGCAGTCATTAGTGTGATGGAAATAGTAAGAATGAGTACACGTAAAATTAAAAAAAAACTTTATGTATGCTGAGAGACAACTAATTAAAGAAGCAAATTTTGCTTTGTATGCAGGTTACTATGTTCTCCTTTGTTGATTTCTTTTCCACTGTTATCAAGCACTGGAGTTGCTTTCGGTGATTGAAATTTCAGTTTTAGTTTTACCCAAAGTTTAAATCAATCATGTCCAACAACTATTTAGACTGACCCTGTTCCACTCACTTCCGAAGACTGTATCACAAAAGTGAATTCAAAGCAGAGTGTTAAAACAACTTGACAAGATTCCCCCATCCCTGGCATCCAAATTTATCCGTAAGGAATAGCTCCCAGCTTCTTAACTGTGCAGGGTGCCCTTTCATTGAGTGAGCAGTTTCCCTAAAAGCCTTCCTCTTCTCCATAGCAATGCTGTGTTGTGCCTTTTGCTTTGATATCAAGTACAAATATTGATCCCACTTTAGCTGACAGCAGTATGGATTGAGCTGTTTATATCTGCACAGTATATGTAGGCAGTAGTAAAGCATTGCTTTTGATGGAAATATTTAACTTGGGTATTAGATTGCCTCTGGATAGATACTCTCGTCTTCTCTTGCCAGCTGCTTCTGCTATCCTAGAACCTCCTTGCAGGAGGGAACAAAGCATTTTGTCATGCATAATACAAGAAAAGGTAGGCACATGGACACTTGGAGGTGTTTCTGCTCTATGTTTCTGACTACTTAACTGCTAAGTTACAAAGAACATCAGATGGTGTTTCCAGTAAGTCACGTACAAATACTGTCATGGTTCTGAAATACTGACCCACGTGATATATTCCAAAACACTGTCATATCACAGGAGGATGTTAATCATGCACATTAGTTGAAATATTTGCTTTACCTATAAGCATACCTCAAAAGGGCCTGAAGGGTTGTATGTGGCTATGAACCCACATTGCATCTTGAAAGAAGCACAGAGTCTTTGTAGCAATGGGGGTTGTAGTTGCTCTGTCAGACTTGCCCAAGTAAAGCATGCAGCTGTATTGGTGTATGTGAAAGGGCCAGTTTGGAAGTAGGAGAGGTCAAGGTGCCATTGACTTGTCTCAGTCTGCTTTACCCCAACAAGGCCAAGCCCTGTTGCAGATTTCCATTTTTCCTGTCATTAGTTTGACTTTAGAGCTTAAAGAAGTGATGAGAGTGAGCCAGAAACCTTTTTTCTCTTGATCCTTCACACCACAGTAGTACTACCCAAGTAGCTCTATCACAACTGCTGGGAGAACTGGTGTCAGGGGATAAGCATCCCGCTGTGGAGCCTAAGGTCTTGGCACTTCAGTTTATCAAGAAATAACACTTATTTTCTTCTCGTCCCTCACTTCACACAGATGACTTATTAGAATGTCTACTTGAGAGGCTGTGTGTGTGTTTTGTCCTTTAACCTGACGCGTGCTGCAAGATGATCACTTGTGACATATTCCTTAGGCAGATTGCCACAGAAGGTGTGCTAGGGTTCAGGAAACATAGGAATAGAAAGGGGCAAAAAAGAATGTGAAAGGGATGTATTTCTTCCCACGGAGAATAACAGGAAGCAGTTGTTTTTCGATAATTAGAGGCAGAAGAACGTCATGAATGATACACACATCTACTTATTGTGTCTGCCTGTAATGATGGCTTTGAATCCTAAGAACCTTTTATCTGGAGAAAGAGCTCTGGAACAGGCCCTTGCTCCCCGTGTTTCACTTCCTCGTAAGTAAAATGGCCAGATGTAGGATAATATAAGTGAGCTTTCTGTCAACAGATGTTTATGAATTTTGCTTCTAAACCCTCAGGGAATGGTTGTGTGAATATTCTATAGACATCATCTTAATGCTGGGTTAGTAGTTAGTTGGCTTACAAAGGGAAGTGTTCTTTCTTAAATGAACAAGAGCTCGTATTTGTGTTCCTTGTGCAATAACTCCAGACGCTCATTAAGAACTAAACACTGTCTGCGTTGGGATTGAACTGCTCCAGCAGAGGGAGGAAAGGGAAATAACATTGCTGCAGCCATGCCGAACAACTTGAGTTCATATAGCTCAGCAACTTCAGTGATGAGAAAAGCTGAAATTCTCTGCCACTCTCCAGTAAAATTTGCAGCTCTTTGAGGCCAGGATTTTTACTTTTTGCAGCACCTCATTGCTCTTCATATAATCATTTTTCCCCAAACTATTGCTTGTGGGTGGTGGAAATCAATCATTTCTTCCATATTCTGAATGTTTTTAGGAACATTTGAGGTATGCATAGGATTAAACTTGTGAAGGAATCTGTACCTGTGCATTTTTTTTGCTTTAAATTGTTATCTATGCCAGTGAGTTTCAGGTAGTTGGTTTTAAGGGTTTATTTCATGTGTATGGGTGCAGATATTTCCAATTACTGCATTATATGCTCAGTACTTTTTTTAAAAAATAGGTTTTTGGATTAAATGCTATTCTGTGTGAGAGCTACGAGCTTCTTCCTCATGTAAATCAACAATACCTTTCTCCTGGTGCATGCAAGGCATGCCTTTACCCAGGAAGGGGGACATACCATACTTGTCCATGATTTCTACATCCACCTGCAACCCTAGATGCCCTTACAGCAGCCCAACAAATTCCTTCCAATTCCAGGTTTGGGAAGTTGGAGAAGACGATCTGTGTTGCTGTTACAGATTCTGCAGACCTGTGTCTACCTCAGGGCAGGATGTCTGCTTGTCACAGGGTGTGCCCTCAGGTTGAGGGAACAGGGGAAAAATGAGATCCCTCTAGTCAGGAGAATGGCTTAAGAACTGTGGCATGAAATCGAATGTAAATTTTATGTTAAAAGTTTGCCTTGGTAGCAGTTCTTCTTTGCCCTCACCCAACTTCTAAGTTTACAAGTGTAACCACTTAAATGGAAGTATGGTTTGAGTTTTCAGTTGCATTCCTTGACCTTCTCTTGTTCTGTCTTTTTGCAAACTCCATTTTATTCCTCAAGGCCTGATGTGTATGTAATGCTTTTGGCTATTATAATGTCAAAAGAAGATCAGTGATTTATCTTTCCATTTTTAACCCTCAAGCAAACTATGGTTACTCTGCATTAGTGTCAGAATGACTCAGAATTAAAGCATGTACATGTAGGGGATTTTAAGCTTTGATTACTACTCTTATGTATTGCCTCATTTCTGTTATGGCTTTTCTTTTATTATTTTTATTCCTTTTTCTTATTCAGCCCCGCAAGAGTAGGTGCAAGAATGTTGATCTCTGCAACATCCAGCACATGAATGGGGACCCTTCCTGTGTCTCTGTGCCCCGGTTTTGACTGGGATGGAGATCTGCAGCAGATCTTTCACTCCACATTCTCCCCACCCCCCTTTTTTTCCTCTGATTGTACAGGTTTTCTTCTACTGCTCTATTATTTATGTAATTCTCAGTATTTATTATAAACTCGGTGAATTAACTCATGGTTGCAGACTGTGTGTGAGGTGCAGGACAAAACTGAATAGTGTTACCTCAAATGTGTTACGACAGCATAAGTTTTACATCTATTTTAGCAGACTAAGATGTGGTAAAATAGAGGATATGTGAAATATCTAGAAGAGGTTGCCAAGTACAATGGCAAAACATGTAGTTGCGCACAAGATTTCATTTAGCAAGGTCTTAAATGTCTATACTATTACTGCATAATGTCAAATATACAAACTGCTCAGTTCCCCATGTTTGGACCTAAAACAGATAACTTTGCATGCATATGTAGAGTTTCAAGTACAAGTTTTTTCTGGTATCAAATAAATAAATAAAGTAACACAGTTACAGTTCAAGCATTTAATTTACACTGCAAGAGAGAAGTCCATTAAAAAGCCGTAGATTGAGAAAACCAATAATATGCTAATACCTAATATTTGTGTAATTTTCACATCTCTGTCCTATATTTTAAGGTCTTAATAAGAAGCTGATGTTGTCTCTATCTCTTGGTAATGTGCAGCAATAATTATGCTCTTTCAGGACAGGGTGTGGGCCAACGTTGGGAAGAGTTTAAACTGTGTTATTGCCATGGTGGACAGACTGCTTGAAAAAGACAACAGCAGCAAAACTAAAGAAGGTGAAAGCGACCCTTCAGCAGCAGATTGCAAGGTGTTGCATGCAGGTGGTAAGCAAGCCTTTTTTTTTTAATCACTGACTAGAGTAAATACAAATAGAAAAAGCCACAGAAAAAAATAAGAGGAGTCAATAGTATCTTTGATGAGAGTGCTGATAGAAAGGTTTTGCACAGCCATAGCCTTGAATGATGGAAGTCTTTATCAAATTGCATCTCAGTTGTGCACTCAAACTGCGTGCTGTGCTCAATTTTTTTGTGCTCCATGAAAACCTTTTGAAACCACAATGTTTTGCTTTGAAAGCTGATGCAGATTGTTTTAGTTTTTTCTTGAATACCATTTTGAGAAAAAAAAAAAAGGGTACCCATAGGAAACTCGGATGAAAAGTTGAACATTGTATTTGAGTGTCGTTCTCTCGTAAACCCATCTGCTTTTCTGAAGTGAGATACGGATACATTTTCTCATTTGCTAAAATTAGTTTTTCCTTGAATGCAGAAATTCATCTTTGTCAATACTGAATACTATGTAGAGTGATTCTATGAGATGGTGCAAAGACAACTTTGCAGCAGGACCTTGGCACCAAACTTCTGATCTTTTCCTATGGCTACATTCCTCATTAGTCAAGATCTGCTTTGGAAGTCTGACAAGCGACTTCATAGTGTGAGTGCATGCTGCAACAAATGAAGCAGCTGTTTGGTGATATCCCAGATGTAAGGAAAACAGACTCGTGCTATTCATCAATAAATGACCCCCACACCAAAACAAAACACTTTTTATGAAAATAACTGGCTCATTAAAAAAAAAGAAACAAACAAAAATACCTTGTATTTTATCCTATACTTTCCTTCACATTTTCTTTTCACCCTATTTTAATGACTTAATATTATATCAAGGATTTTAATGTTATTAGAATTCTTTTGTATTTTTTTCTCATGTAACAAGAATTTAAGTTTTTTTTTTTCATCTGCATATTGTTTGCGTAGTTCTGTTGTTTTGTGCAATGGATTTTGGTGGTAATCTTGATATATAAAGCATCTGCAAAGTCAGCATTTCTAACAGTATGAGAGATTTCTTCTGGCATCTTGGAATTCTTATTTGTCAGTGCCAGATATGCTGGACTTGTTTTAAAAGTTTTTGTATGAATAGTCCGGAGACCAGAGTATTTCTCATGTTTGCTTTTGTGAGCGTGTCTAATAGGCAAGTATCCCTCTGATGTTAGAGATACCATCATCTTTGTTTTGTAGTGAAGACTTACATGTACAAAATATCAACACAACTACTTTTTTTTTTTTGGAGAAGTTTTCCATGTTTTTTCAGACCTTCAGATAAGAAGATAAAAAAAAAATCAAATAGTTTTTAGAAATTGAACCAAACCATACTGATTTTGTTTAAAAGAAATAAACTGAATATTTGTTCTTGTGCTTAACTCCCTTCCCTTTCCCATTGTGTTAGCTAGCTTTTCTCTATTACTAGCTAAAATTCAGTATGTCTATTAAAAATGTTTTGCATATAAATCAGTAGTACACTTTCATCCAAACTTCCCCAATGTTACTACAGTGCAATTGTGTGGGAATTTAGAGTTGCATGTGCTGTTTTTATCTGTATTCCAATTGTCAAAATGTCTTTAAGTTACAAAAGAAAATTTGAGACTTCTGTTTTTAACCCAGTCTGGAAAAGTAATGATTTAGGATTATTCTTTGTTTTGGAGGTTTGCTCTCCATAAAAACAAGAGATAGACATGTTTAGCAACATGAACATTTACAGTTTTTTCCCTCAATCTGTTCAACCCTCTGCATATCTCCTCTGTTGTCCTGTATAAGCCATAAAATGTGCCTAACCAGAATCATCAGTCTATTTGAGTCTTTCAGTGTAGTTGAAAGCTTTAATTCTTAGTTCTGATTCAGGCTCACATCCTACACAGGCAAACAAAATACTGATTAGAGCTTTTGGCTCGCAAAATCAAAAAACCCTTAAGTTTCCTTTTAAGTATTATAATAAGTTACCAAATGGAATGAAAAGTACCTCTTAGTAAGCAATAACAATAATTGTAATGGTTAGAAGATTAAAGACGTATTTTGTTTGGCTGAGAAGCTGCCTTCTGGAGATGACACGCCTGTGGTGCTGAGATAGATTCTTCTCTTTGATGTATCCCTCACTTCAGGATCTTCTCTATGACTCTTGAATCAGTGCAAATGTTTTTCTATGAGAGTAGGGTCAGTGTATTTGTTGAGTTGTGCTGAGTGTTCTGCAACACCTGATTGTGTGCATAATGCAGAAGATTTGTGGCGGAGATGACTGATTTCATGTTCAGCTGTTTGAAGAAAGCATCATATCCTAATGGTGTTTCATAAGAGCATCATAGCATGACCTTGACAGTTTATAGGAGTTCTGAAGTCATGTAGAAATGGAATTGTTTTAAAATTGCTTTCCTGTGTAGGGCTTGCTTAAAAGCTTTTTGAAGGACTATCCAGGGGTGTACCAAACTTGATCGCCTGATAGTTTTCAAAACCGTTGCCTTTGGGTCCAGAATTTTGCACGCTTAACTTCTGTGTGACAGTGTTTTATTTCTCTCTGCGTCTTTCTCTCGAGTTTGACGTGAACCCCTGAGGATTCATTATGAAGCACCTGCATAGAGTTGAGATACTGTTTGAGGCTATAAATTCTGCCTTAATTTCCTCCGTTTCATATTTGAAGCCTGGATGTGTTGGTACCTAACTTTTTCTTAGATATGAAGTAATAGCATGCTTATGTGTGCAGATACATTTCTAAAATTTTAGCATTTTTAATACATAAAATGCATGAAAATCACATAATGAAAAGTTTGCAATATGTTGTGCTTAAATATTATACCATAATATGAGCATAACCTACTTGAGTAGTACTGCAAGTATATGGGCACGGATCTTTGAGTCTGAAACTGCTTCAGTGCTAAGGCTGATCCTAAGAAAAGTTGTGCTGCTGTTTGTAAGAAATATAACCAATGCGCATGGATTTGATCAAATCATTGAAAAGTATGCCTTAAAGTATGGGATAAAATGTTTGCTTATATTAGTTGAACCTGCCTGTTACCATGGAAAATTTTTATATACATATAACAATGAAAAGATTGCAAAGAATGCATTGCATTCATTTTAGATGGTAGAAAAAGTTATGACAGCAATTTGATGTTTTTGAGCAATAGCATATTCCTGCTACTACAGATGTTACCATAACCTATATTTAGAGTCCGTGAATATAGGTTTATATTTGCAATCTCAATGCTGACATTCTATGGTCTTACTCTTTTTCCCAGCATGCTTATATTTATTTTATGGAATCTTTGTAATCTGAAATATTGGTGGCACCATTTTCTTGTACTTATCTTTCAACATGAGTTGTACCTTCCTTAGCATAACTTTTCATGCAGTCTGACCTTTGAGTGTATTCTTAAGACTGGATTTGAGTTATCAGTTACCAAGGTAACATGCCATGGTTTTATCACTTGCAGAATTATGATTTCTCTGCAGGATAAATCAGGAAGAGTAGACGGATTTTAAAGGAAAGGTTTTTTACCTTTTTTAGCTTGAGACTGGCTTGCTTTGGAGAATTACTTGACAACATTGAATTCTCTCTTTACCTTTGCCTTACTGTGTGGGTTTTTTTTGGAGTTGGAATGTGAAAGCCTGTCCTGGAGAATTAGATGCCAATAAAATGCAGCAGTTTGCTCCTAGGCTTATACAGTCCCTGATGGATCTCCACATCTAGCTGTACTGGTACAAGAGGCTGTTGTTTCCAGCTGCTCTTTGTAACTCTCCATTAGTACTATCAAACCCAGCTGCTCCTCCACTGGCTGTTTGTGTGAGTACTCCCTAACCTGATACATCCAAAATCCACCAAGTTATCTCAAAGAATTTAAACTAACATTGTGGTTGCACGTGGATTTTGCCTGAAGTTAATTATGGAGTCATAAGCTATGCTGCTGGGCAGATGAATTGGTCAAGGGTAATCTTCACTGTAAGTAACCAAGAGCATTTGGGGAATGATGCCATGTTTCCTAGCTCAAATGAAGGATGTTCATGGCCATATTGCTATGGGTATATGTACTTCTTTTTTTTTTTTTTTTTTTTTTTTGAGTAATTTTGTACCTGCTGGGGTCTCTGTAATTCTAGATTAAACTCTTCTGTCTTTTTAGTGCCCTAGGGAATCACATCCATCTAAATGCAATTGCCAATAGAAATGTGAAACAAAACTGTCTAGTTTTGATGGCATCTTCAGGAAGAAGGGCATTTACTTGAAAATGTGATTGAGTTGGGAAGATGTAAAATTCTCCTTCAGTCTGCTCCTTAACTAGCAAACTATATTTTGATGAAATGAACAGTTCTCAAAAACTTACTCTTCCATTCCTTTTCGTTAGATTTTTCTTATTCTCGGAAAATAGTCTTTGAATCAACTCTGATTCCAAAATTTAATGTGCTACTTCTGTATTTCCACTATTATTCTTTTCCCTCTCACTCCTGTATCTTCCTTCTTTCTCTTTTTGCTTGGTTGAATAATTGGACTATATGGAGCCCAGAATATAAGATAACCACTTCAGCAATACTTTCTATCAGTAATTAAGTTACTGACTAAAGCTTTAAAAGTCTTCCTTTCCTTTACCTGTTTAAGTATTTTCTGAAGACATCAGAACACCTGGTCGTACAACACTTCCATAGCAAGGTTTATGTTTTGAGTATTTTAGACTAGCTTTAACATTGTCTATTGCTGCTGTCATCTTCTTTTCCTGTTTTCAGTGTGACAAAAGCTGCCGAGACACTAGTATATGTATGATTAGATGGTTTCAACTTTCAGTATTAGTCTATGTGAAAGTATAGGAAGTCTCAGGTGAATAGAATAGATAGAGAAGTCTACAAGAATTCAAAATTGTTCCCCATGGCACTAGAATTATGTGGTTGAAGTAGATTGCTGTGATACTAACTGCAGAAATACCAGGAAGACTGATGCAGGTTTGTGATGTTCTGGTAAGAAATGTGGCAGAATTACATGGAGAAAACCTCATCCCTTCTCATGAAACATA